GTAGGAAGCTTTGCGGGCTCCTGAGGAGACTGGGAGGATCAGGTCTGTACGTGAAGCACATATTCCATTGAGGTCTGATTCCAGAAGGGTGTCCTGGGCATTTCTGATTTGCCTTTGTTGGGCAGAGGCTGCCGCTGAGACTCAAGCTGGGCACAGGTGGCTGTCATAAGAATGTGACCTTGGGGGTTGGAGGATGGGGCACTAGCCGCTAGAGTTTCTTCAGAACTTCCAAATCTGTTTTTGAGAATTGATTTGAGACATAGTAGGGGGAAGCTCAGCAGAGGAGGAGTCTTCCCTTGGATGCTTCTGTTTGTTAGTGTTGGTACTAGTCTTAGCACCTCTCATTTCTACCTGTTACCTGCCAGGCACTTGGCACACATTCTTGGATCCCTGTAGCAGTGCTGAGAGGCAGGTGTTGTCATCCCTGTTTGAAAGATGGGAGAAGCTGAGCTTCATGGGGCCTAGTTAGGGACTGACACCTGAGGTGCTTTCCACCAATGAAAGTTAATTTAGGGGCCCAGGAGTAAGATGACAGGACTTGGTGGGGGCTGTGGTGAACTGGATGACACCTGTTCCATCAAGCTTCTGTGGATATGTGGGACTATGTCGTCTAACAATTTTCCAAAAGTCAATGGAAATAGAACATTTTTTAGAAATATTATACTTCATAAATGTTGGTAAATAATTTCTTAAGATGTTGAAAATGCTGTGCAGGACAAGCAAGCACATCTGAACCAGATTGGGCCCATAAGGAACCAGTTAGTAACCCTAGGTCAAGAGATCTTTTATTCATTCTGCAGATATTGAGGTGCCCTGGAGGTGTCAGGGTCAAGGGGACAGACCTAATGCAAGAACACATTGAGTTTATGGTTGGCATCAATACTGTGTGGTCCCTACTCTGAGAGGGACACTTTCTTGGGGCATCACAGACCACTTCCTGGAGGAAGCAGAAGTCTGACGGATGTTGTATTAGCTAGGGCTGCTGTAACAAAGCACCACCGGCTGGGTGGCATACAACAGAAATTTATAGTTTGGAGGCCAAAAGTCCAAAGTCAAGGCGTTGGCAGGGCCACTCCCTCTGCAGGCTCTGGTGGGGAGCCTCTCTCCTAGCTTCTGGTGTGGCTGGCAATCCTTGGTGTTGGTTGGTGCTATGGACTCAAAATCATATATTGAGCCCCAGCTGGTTTGGCTCAGTGGATAGGGTGTCCGCCTGCGGGCTGAAGAGTTAGATTCCGGTCAAGGGCACATACCTGGGTTACTGGCTCAATCCCCAGGAGGCAGCCAATCAATGATTCTCTCTCATCATCGATGTTTCTCTCTCTTCCTCTCCCTTCTTCTGAAAATCAGTAAAAATATATTTTTAAAAAATCATATGTTGAAACCCAGTCTCCAAGGTAATGGTGTTTGGAAGTCAGGCCTTTGGGAGGCAATTAAGTGTAGATGAGGTCATGGGGGTAGGGCCTTATGTTGCAATTAGTGAGTTTATAAGAACAGTCCAGAGCCTAACTGGTTTGGCTCAGTGGATAGAGTGTCAGCTTGTGGACTGAAGGGTCCCAGGTTCGATTCCAGTCAAGGGCATGTACATTCCCAGTGGGGTGTGTGCAGGAGGCAGCTGATCGATGTTTCTCTCTCATCGATGTTTCTGACTCTATCCCTCTCCCTTCCTCTCTGTAAAAAAATCAATAAAATATATTTTAAAAAAAGAAAAAGATACAAGAGAGAGCTCCCTTCTCTTTCCTCTCTGTCAGGTGAGGACACAGTGAAAAGATGGCCATATGCAAATTGGAAACAGGTTCTCACCAGACACCACGTCTGCCAGTGCCTTGATCTTGGACTTCCCAGCTTCTAGAACTGTGAGAAAAAGTAAATGTTTATTGTTTAAGTTACCTGGTCTGTGGTAATCTGGACTAGCAGCCTGAATTTGACCAAGACATGTGGACACATCACTCCAATCTCTGCCTCTGTCATTACATGTCATTTTCCTTGTGTGTGGCTTTGGGTATCTTTTCTTATAAGGCACAATTCTAGGCCCACCAACTCCAGTTTGACCTCATCTTTTGTTGATTACATCTGCAAAGATCCTGTTTCCAAATAAGGTCATATGCATTGGTACCAGGGGTTAGGACTTGAACATATTTTTGGAAGGGACACAGTTCAACCCACACATATATGTGGAGTAGGCAAGTGAAACTTGGGGAAGAGTATTCCAGGTAGAGGGAACAGCAGGTGCAAAGGTACTTCCAGAAGGGTGCAGGTGAGTTCTAGGAAATAAATCAGCACAGCCAGAGTGAAGAGTGGGCACTAGGTGTGGCTGGGGTGGCTCATGCCAGGCCTCATAAGTCCAGTGGAGTGGTTAGGCTTGACTAGGATGCAATTAGAGATAAACCTCCAGTCTTAGTAACTTGACAGTAGAGATTCCTTCCTTGCTCATGGCAAGTGTGACATGGGTTGAACAGCTTTCCATAATGTAGCTCTACCATCAGAGCACATGGTCTCTAGGGGAAGGGAGGTCTGGGGGAGGCTGGCCTCTATGCCCAGGTCCAGAAGTGACCCTTCCACTCACAGACCATACAGCAAGGAGGTATTTGGGCGAGGCATGGATTTCTGTGATCCCTAACTGGCTCTCTCACCCAAATCTTATTTAGGGTTAGGATTTCATTCTCAGAGTGGTGGGAAGCCAGCCAGGGTTTTCACACAGTGTGACAAGATCTGACTTGGTTTTAAAGTTTCCTTCAGCTGGAGCCCTGAAGTGGAGGAGCTGGAACTCGGGGAGCTGAGTAGGCAGTGGCTTGCGTTGGAGTTGGCCACTGCAGTCACGTCATTATTTGTAGTTAACTCCTGCAATTTCCACTTCGCAGGCTCAGCCAAAAAAAAAAAAAAAAAAAAAAAGATTGTGAGAAAAATGAATTCATGTAGTTTTTAAAAAATCTCTGAAAATGTATTTTGTGCCTGTCCTCTTTATTCTAGACTGATGATTGTACACATTTGTATACATATATTACCTGACAGCCTGGGCTCCTTGTTGATTTGAGAACCTCACTGTCATGGAAGAAGCCCTCTACTCTAGTTCTGTAGCTGGGACCCAATAATAAGTGGAGATCCTTGTGTCAAAGGGACTTTCTGCTTCTTCCAACATCCCAGTCCTCTGCCTCTGTCAGATATACCCTTGGATGCAATATACTCACAGGGCTGCAGTTCTTTATAGTTTGCTTGGGTACCTGTACCCATCATCTCCTGTGAGTCACATTCCTGGTCCTTATGTCTGTGTGTGTGTGAGTGAGGGCTTAGGTGGAGATGGCGGGGTGAGTTTGTTCTAGATTTCACTGCAAGCCAGGTCAGTGTATGACCGAGGTTTTATGGATATACATGAATTCCAGTTATGGAACCGAGTCTGAAGTGGTCAGGTGGGCCTTGGGGTGACCCGGAGGGCATTTGCTCATCTGGTGGTGGATGCCCAGCTCTAGTTGATTGATACCTTGGGGGGAATGTAGTGCTGTGTGGCCAAATCTTGGTTTTCTGAAGTTGGTTACTTTTTCCAAGTGTAAAATTGTCACATTTTTCATTCTCATAGCAACTCATTGGCTGGCTGGATTGGGGAGTAAACCATGGCCCAAGGCTTTGGGCTTCAGTGTTCTCATTTATAAATTGAGGATGGTACCACCTTTCACAGGGCTGTTATGAGATTAGATCAGAAAATAGAAGGCCTAGCCCAACACGCTGGATCCGGCTGCACGAATCCAGCGGGTCAGCTACTTGTGTTCTGTGCTATTGGTAATCCCCAGGCTTCAGAGGTTGTGATATTGGTGCATTTGGGGCCCTCCACTCCTATGATTAAAAGGAATCGCAGGATTATGCAGGCCTTTTAAATTTAGTTGTCAAGGAGATATTAAGGGTTTTTGTATATTAGGAAAAAGAGAACTAACTACCCCAACCCCCGACATCATGATTTTGAAAATGTTAGTGGAATGTTTTTATTTTAAATTTCAGCAAAAATTAGTGAGTTAATTTAAATGAAAAATTTTAAGTAATCAAAAGTATAAACGTGATGCTAATCATCAAGTTGGTGTTGGGCGACCTGATTGGGGAACATCATGGTTCTACCGTTTCTCTCGCACGCATCCTAGTCAGCATGGTAGGCACCAGATCTCTGCAGGACTCCTCCCCAAACCGCGTCTCCCTGCTGCGGAGGCGGCAGAAAGGGCGGGAGCGAGGGGCTTTGAGGGCACCAAGGTCAAGGGGAGGGCGATCTGCGTCGCAGTCCCTCCGAGCCGAGGACCTTGGGGGACCCTAAGCGCCCAAGCTCGGCAGCCCGGATTCCGCCACTTCCAGCCAGGTGATCTTGGTTTGCGAGACTTGTTCGAACCTACTTCCCTCTTTGGGGAAATGGAGTGGCCGAGACTGTCAATGCTGGGAGTGGGGGCACCGGGAAGAGAGAGACTGCGGCCTAACGGGGCGGAAGGTATGTCTGGGGCCGCCTCTCAGCCTAGGGCTGGGACGTCGTTCAATCAGGCAACGCTCCGCAGGGCCCAGGCTCGCGCGGGTTCTAAAATGAGGACAAAGCCCGCCCGGATCTAGCGTGCGCGCGCCGACGTGGCCAATAGGACGCCGGCGCACGGTTGAGTGACGGGCGGCAACAGCCAGTGAGCATGCGTCTTGTTGCGAGGTGGGCGCCCCGGCTCCGGCATTATAAAGAGCGCCACGAGTCGGCATTGTCAGGCGGCGGTACTGTGCGGGCCTAAGCAAGTCTTTTGGGCGGTGGGTTCCGTGCACCGGGGGTCGAGGAGGAGCGCGCGAAGTTGCGGCAGCTCCGTTGGCGGAGGGAGGGGAGACCGGGAAGTGCGAGCTTGAGCAAGGCGGAGCCTCGCGGCACCTTCCCGGCGGGTGGGGACGAGCGGGCCTCGCGGCGTCACTGGCGGCGAGGTGAGCGTCCGGGCCGCGGGCTGCGGGGGGCAGGCGGCGGGAGTCGCGCGGGCCTGACGTGCTGTGGCCGCTCGTTGCAGGAGCCGCCGCGCTCCGGTCTAATGTCGGAAACCGGTGAGGAGCAGCTCATGGAGACGACGGGCGCCACCGAGAACGGGCACGAGGCCGCCCCCGAAGGCGAGTCGCCGGCCGGGCCGGGCAGCGGGGCCGCGGCGAGCGCTGGAGGCGGGAGCGCGGCACCTCCGGCCAGCAACCAGAACGGCGCCGAGGGCGACAAGATCAACGCCAGCAAGGAAGAGGAGGACGCGGGGTAGGTGCGGCCGCGGGCCGGCAGGACGCCGCCTTTGTTCCGGGGCCGCCTTTTGTTGGCGCCACGCGGCGGGGGGAGGGGCGGGCGGCCGGGCGGCTCGGGCCGCAGACTTGTTCTCCGCGCCGCCCCGCTTTGCCGCCGCTCGCGCTCGAGTTTGTAGGAGTTTGTTGGGTCGATTTTGGCGCCGCCCCGGGGCCTCTCGCGCCGCGCCAGGGCCGGGCCGGGCGCCCGGAAGAGGAGTGCGCCGGGACCTGGGGCCGAGCGGGTCTGGGACGCGCGGGGGCTGCGAGGGCGGAGTTGGCGCGTGCCCGGGCCGTGTCCTCCTCCCTCCGCCTCCTGCCGGGGGCGGGGTTACTGTCTGGCACCCGGAAGCTGCTAGTTCCTTGAGAGCGAATATTCGGAAGTGGCGGAGACGGTAGCCTTTTGATGCATGGTTGTTACACAAATTGCTTTCAGTTGTGAGCGCTCAGAGCCTGTGCCTCTGGCCAGGTTGTCCTTCCTTTCCCTAGCCCTGTCAGGGTTTGCCGTCTCTTGAATCTTGGTTAGAGTCAAGATTGAGTTCGGGAGGGTAGTAAAGATTTAACATTTTCCAAAGGTGGAGCTCTTAGGGGCACAAGGGATAGTCTTGTTCCAGATTGTGGCTTTATTTCTGATTTTCTCAGTGAAAGCTTTGCTAGGGCCAGTCCTAAAATCACAGCTTTCTTATAAGACTTGTTGCTATGTGTCTCACCCTACCATTTCAGAAAAATGTTTGTTGGTCACCTGAGCTGGGATACCAGCAAAAAAGACCTAAAGGATTATTTTACCAAATTTGGAGAGGTCGTTGACTGTACAATAAAAATGGATCCCAACACTGGCCGGTCAAGAGGATTTGGGTTTATTCTCTTCAAAGATGCTGCTAGTGTGGAGAAGGTAAGCTGGGGACTTGGTTGAGTGCTTTGAGAAAAGCAGATCCTTGTTCCTGTTTTTGAAAAAAGGTTTAGTAGGGTAGTGAGTGGGCTGGAGTGGCATAGGAAGATGATAATGAACATTTATTACCTCCTTCTGCCTATTCTGGACACAGCAAACTACTGTGAGGACTGGAGGAGAGTCCTAGGTTATGAGATAAGCATTATTTTAGCTTCATTTTAAAGAAAACAAGCTAAGGTTCAGAAGTTTAAGTAGAAAAGCTTACACAGGTGGCTAAGTGTGGTGGAGTAAGGATTCTGACCCTAAGCAGCCCATTTTCCTTCAGTCACTGCTGCTTTACTTCTGGAGATAGGCCTTAAACAGAACTGCCGAGGCAGGAAGAGGGTGTACAGGATAACATAGGAAAAGTCAGGGTGGTGAGGACTGATTTACAGGTAAACTAGCTGTACTTGACATTTGATGGTTGGGTTGGAAAGTCAGGTTGGGGTTAGAGTTTGGAGGGGATGAAACATTTTGTGTATCTGTGTTTGGGGTTCCATGGCTCAAAGAGAAGAGCATTGGATAGAGTTGTGCTGCTGAGTTAGAACCCAGCTTCCTTCTGTCGGAACAGGTCCTCGATCAGAAGGAGCACAAGCTGGATGGCCGAGTCATTGACCCCAAAAAGGCTATGGCCATGAAGAAGGAGCCTGTAAAGAAAATTTTTGTGGGGGGTCTGAATCCTGAAGCCACTGAGGAGAAAATCAGAGAGTACTTTGGCGAGTTTGGGGAGGTGAGTGGCCTGCCATCTGCCCTGAGGTGGCTTTCCTGGTCCTTGTCAGACAGCCTCAGTGAGGCTGCTTTATGGACTTTTTCTCCGTCCAGTTCTCCGTGAGCCCTGGGGAGGACTGGTCCTGAGCTTTTGCCTGTGTTTACAGATCGAGGCCATTGATCTTCCAATGGATCCAAAATCAAACAAAAGAAGAGGTTTTGTTTTCATCACCTTTAAAGAAGAGGAAGAACCTGTGAAGAAGGTTCTAGAGAAAAAGTTCCACACCATCAGTGGAAGTAAGGTAAAGTGTCTGCAGTTATGTGTGTCTAGCCTCTTGCCAAGAGAGGTCTGCTTCTTGCAGGTGTGACTTAAGGGTTGGGCTGCCTCCAAGGGCTACAGGGTAGTGAGACCTCATTGTTTTTCTGCAGGTCTGCTGCCCTGATTGGGGGGCAGATGGACTTGGCCTTCAAGGAGTTCTTAGCCTGACAGTAAAAACAGTAGCTAGAGATTAAGATGTTCTGAATCTAGAGTCTAAGATCTGCACTTCTCAGATGATTTTGGAACTTCTGCCATTCACTGATTTCTTTCCCTGGCAGTGAAGTCCTGCTTACCATAGAAACCGCTGCAGAGCTTTTCTCCTATCTTATTGCTGCCAAAACCAAATCTTTATTCTCCATCCCCTTTGGACACTGGTTTATTCAAATCCATCTCAGCAAGATCCTTCCCAAAGAGCCCCAGGGTCCTGGCTCATTTATATTTATACCCAGGGCCAGTTTGCCTTCAAATGAACAGAAGTGAGAAAGATAGCTGTTATCCCTGAACTCTGGTCTAGAGAGAGGGTAGTATGTCTTAAGTATTCTCCAGGTGGCAGTTGTGTGTTAGGGTGTGGCAGGGTGTGTCAGGCTGTCTGTGGAGTGGCAGTCAGGTAAAGTTGGACAGGTGGGGTGGGGCTTCTGAAAATTTTAGTACTCCTGGCTGGAAATTTGGAAAGATTGGATTGGACTCTTAAATTTCATGTAAAATGAGATTGGATCCTACGGGTCATTTGCATAAGACCATCCATTAGCTAGCCCAGTGGATAGGGATATAGACTGTCTTTCCCCCATAATGAAAAATTGGCAGGAAGAGCCTATGGGGCAGCACTAGCACTGTTGGCAGTGGGTCTTGGAATACTGTGTTTAGTTGTATGTTCAATAGGGTAGAAAACATTATATCACTGTGGGGTGATTTGCCAGTTTTAAGGAGTAGACTTATATGGGGACAGCTTATGTGGAATGTTTTTTCACTGGTCTTGGGGACAGAGTATGAGTCAGGGTGCTTTATTTTATTTCTTCAAAAGAGAAAGTTCATTTAGAAAGATACAGAGGTAGAAGTGAGCCAGCTGGGCTTTGTAAGCTCAGAAAACAAGTTAAAGCAAAAGAAAGGGCCCTTCGAACTTAGGAGAGAGAAAGGCAAAGGCATTGTGGTGCGGATGGTCTAGGTGTAGGTATAGAGGGGGTCATGAAAGCTAGGGAGGGAGAGGCTTTTTTTTAAAAAAAATTTATTGTTGAAAGTATTAGATGTCCCCCTTAAAATTTTTTTTTTAAAATTGATTTTTAGAGAAAGGGAGGGACATCAATGTAAGCACAGAAAATCAATTGGCTGCCTCCTCCATTCCCCCACCAGGGATTGAGCCAACAACTTGGGCATGTGCCTGGACCAGGAATCAAACAGCAACTCTTCAGTGCACAGGACGATATCCTACCAACCGCCACACCAGCCAGGGTTTTATTTGTATTTTGTTGTTCTTCAGCGTACCTTTAAAAATACACTTCTATTTCAGTGGGAACACTGGAAGGTTCCTGACCCTACCTCCATCCACAATGGGCAGGTTTTTGAGCTAAGCAGAAACTTGACTTGGCTCTGGGGGACATACATAGGGCTTTTGCCCCGTCCCAACTACAGACCAGTGGTTGGGGGAGGGGTAGTGGTAGTGGTAGCAGTCTGGCTTCAGGCAAGCTCTGCCCTAAGCCTCAGTAACTTTCTTCCTCTGTAAGTTGGAAGTCTGTGTCACCACTATACATTTGAGTGGGATGCTTCATTTTTCACCTGTTAAACAGTAAAATAAAGTCAGAAAGTGTACATTATTCTTTGACGACCTTGTCTAGTTAGGACCAAGGTGGCAATAGACCTGACAGTTTTGTGTGTTTTGCTACACTGAGCTGGCATTAGCCCTGCTGCCCCTCTCCTGCCAATTGTTAAACACGGAGCTGTCCTAACCCTGGGTTTGTATGCATGATTCCCATTAAAGTCTCGGGGAATGTTTGAGCCAAAAAGGCTCTAATGTGGATCTTGGTTGTGTAGGTTTTAGTTATGGTTCTCAGAGCTTCTAGCCCAAATGTGGTTTCACAGCCTGTCATATTTTATTATTGAGAAGATGGACCAAGTCTGAATGTTGGTAAATGAAGGTCATTGTGCACAGTCTCTCCCTAGAACTTGTCCCTGTGGCCTGACTTCCTGTCCTCTTGGCTTGTAGTGTGAAATCAAGGTGGCTCTGCCCAGAAAAGTCTATCAACAGCAGCAGTATGGCTCAGGGGGCCGTGGGAACCGCAACAGAGGGAACCGAGGCAGTGGTGGTGGAGGTGGAGGTGAGTGGAACATGGATGAATATGGGTCTGGTTTCCCTGCCTGCATGGAGCTTCCATGCCTGTCTTGTGGGGGCTTACTCTGGTCTCTGGTGGGGCTGGGTGGTCTGGGACAGAAATGGCTCTCGTGGGTCTGGGCTGTGCTGCTGCTGGTTGGAGTGGAAGAGCCCATATTTCCCATGTGGTCTGGGGCCCCAGGGCAGCGGAAGATGTGTATTGTACTTTGCGGGGTAGGGGTGAGGGGCCTGATGGGCTTCTGTGGCTGTCCTGAGTCTTGGTCCACCCATGGGTGGGTGGGCAGAAGGTAGGGCAGGGCTGTGCCAGGCGCTTTACCTCCTTCTGCCCTAGGCCCTCTGACTCCAAAGCCTGAACTCTTTTTTTTAAGGCCAAGCTGCCAGAGAGGATTTGTGTATTCAGAGGGTGATTTGAGTGAGAATGAGTTCCTGCCTCTTTGGCCCTGAGAGAAGTTAGGTTCCGATCTGTCTTCCTCTGCAGCTTGGGTCTAAGTGCAGGGTGAGGTTAGGGCCCTGTTATACCAGGACAGCAGCCCCTTCCTTGGCTTCTACTTCTGAGTTGCCATAGTAACCCCGCCACCCAACGGGCAGGATTTCCTCCATCCTAGCTCCTGCGTGTGCTAAATGGTCCATGGGCCCCTGTGCCCTGCTCCCCCCACAGGTCAGAGTCAGAGTTGGAATCAGGGCTACGGCAACTACTGGAACCAGGGCTACGGCTACCAGCAGGGCTACGGGCCCGGCTATGGCGGCTACGACTACTCGCCCTATGGCTATTACGGCTACGGCCCCGGCTACGACTACAGTAAGTAGGAGAGAGGGCGGCCCCATCCAGTCACCCACCTGGGAGGCAGGACAGAAAGTGCAGGGGTCACTGGCAGCAGGGGCTTTTGGAGTCAGACAGGCTGGGCTGTGTAGCCTGCCCCAGGGGTGTTGGCTCTGGTGAGGATTTGAGCCAAGCGCCTGGCACAGGAATAAATGTTCAATAAATCTAGCTGCTATCATTGTTGTTCTTGTCCCTAGGTCAGGGTAGTACGAATTACGGGAAGAGCCAGCGACGTGGTGGCCATCAGAATAACTACAAGCCATACTGAGGCTTCGGCAAGAGTGCCCGTCTGACCGCACACGCTTTGTTTGGATATTGAGTGAACACAAACAATTATGTACCAAATTTAACTTGGCATACTTTCTATGGCCTGTCCCATGTGCATCTTATTTAAAATTTCCCCCCTGGAAATCACTCTCTTGTTTACTATTTCCAGAGCTCTAGTTGTTTTAGGCAGCGTGTGGTGTCTGAGGCCAGAGCGGCTTTGTGGGCTGATTTTATTACTGGGTTACCCAGAACCAGGTGGGAGGGTCTGTTTCCTGCTGCCGCTCTGCATCCTGGACCTGTGGACCCTGGTTGTAAAAAAGTCTATCTTAGGAAACCAGTGTCACCTTTTTTCACCTTTTAATTTTATATTATTTGTGTCATACATTTCCTGTAATGGAAGTGTTAATTTTACTGTACTTTTTGGTACCTTTTGGGAATCTAATGTATTGTAAGGTATTTTACACGTGTCCTGATTTTGCCACGACCTGGATATTGAAGCTATCCAAGCTTTTGAAATAAAAATGTAAAAACCCCCAAGCCTGGGTGAGTGTGGGATATGCGGTGCCTAGGACTTGGGCCCCTTTAAAGGAAGGAAATGGCTGGAGGTTTAAGGCAGCTGTTCTTGGGGTGAAGACTGTGCAGCAGGGATTCTGAGACACCTTAGAACACCTTTCTTAAAACAGGGTTCTGTCTTCCAGGACAGTGAACCTACAATCAAGGATGCCCCCTCCTGGCTGAAATGTAATAGCCTTCTCTGGCAGCACCTATTTGCTGCTGGATTGGAGCACCTCAAGTCTGGTGGCAAGAGGAGGCAGCAGGCTGTGGGACTGGTCTAGGTGGTCGGAGCCTGAAAAGGAGTTTTGTTTCCCCTCACTCCTAGATGGAACTGGCTGGGGAGGATGGAGAGAGCTCAAGTTAGCCAGAGCCTCCCAATGATGGAAGGGGACATCACCTGAAACAAAACTTAACACACAAAAAAAGGCTTGGTTTCCTGGGGGGGTACAGAATGGTTCAGGAACCCAGATGTGGCCTACTCACCTAGTAAAGGACATTACACAGCAGGGCTACCACAGAGCTGGGGCCTTAGCGTCTCACAACTTCTCACCTTTTCTTCCATGTCTGAAAAAAAAACACCACCCAAACTGGTTAACCCTTCTTTTCTGCTAAAGGTCCCTCCAGCCTTCAGTGTCAGCTTGAATGGCAGTTTGGAGTTGGGCTCACTGGATAGGGCCATGATCCCCTACCCCTGACCTATATGTATGTGGCACTAGCCATAGGATCAGCAACAATTTTCCCAGAGGAAAAGCCTATCAAGTTTCCTAAAACCCCAGTTCAACCAGAGGCTTCTCTATAGGCAACCGAAGCCAGTTCTGTGCCTCACCTCATCCAGCAGGTTTTAAACCACCTCCCAATTGTGTACAGGGGGTTGGCCCTCAGCTCTGGAGCCCTGGGGGCAGAAGTGAGAGTCCAGAGGTGGAGGACAGGGAGGGGTGGTTCTGAACTCCAAGAGATAGAGGACTTTACCTATTTAGGGGGCCACCCCTGCCCAGAGCTTTGCACGCATAGCCCTTGGGGGTTGGATCAGATCCCACCTCCCAAAGTGTTTGGGAAGCCCCCCAGGCACAGCAGAAATAGTGACCTGGGCCAGTAAGATCCCCTCTCCACTTCAGCTCCATGCTGCCTGCACTGTCCGGAGGATACCTAGCCCAGCTGTTGAGCACACTAGGCCATTGTAGCTGCTGGGTTGAGTTCTAGGGACATGGTCAGCTGGACACTGGGCTTTTATGCTTACCTGTTAGGATGGCATCCAGCTTTGCCACCACATGTTTTACGTTGTCTAAGCTGAAGCACATTGGGGGCTTAAATTTCAGGACGTTCCTCCCAGGGCCATCGGTGCTTAGCAAAATGTAGTTCTCCTTCAGCCTGTAGGACAGGACATAACAGCCTTGCTATACCACCAGCCCAGGGCCCTTCACATGGTCTTTAAGGCCTTTCTGTGCCTGGCTTTGGCCTGCTCCCACCACTGCTTTTGGAACCCTTCACAGGCCAGCAGCCCCTGCCCCCTCCTATCTCCCCCCCGCTCCCCGATAGGGCACTGGTTACCCCTAGTAAACCTTGATTCCTATCTTTTTGGACCTGGCCCTGAGAAGCGGCATAGCCTTATCTGCCCCTGGAGTTCCAGTCTAGTCTGAAGTCCCTGCATTTTCCACTTCACGGTTTATATTATGTGTACGGCTTGCTTTGTATATGTATGGGAAATGTCCATCATTATAAAATGCCATCCCCTTATCTAGCTTCAGTAACTTGCCCTGCTCCCTGCATACAAGTAATCTTGTAATTTCCAGATAGCTTGTCAGTTTAATTTCCACTTTTTAAGAGAATGACTACCATACTTAGTTGGTACATAAAGTTATTTCTAATATTTCACATTTATACTTTTAACCTAGGAAGGTGCCCTGGCCAGGTAGCTCAGTTGCTATAAGAGCATTGTCCTGATATGCCAAGGTTGCGGGTTTGATCCCTAGTTAGGGTACATAAAGGAATCGGCAAGTGAATGCATAAAGTGGAACAACAAACCGATGTGTTCTTTTTCTTAATGCCACCTCCTACCCCCCACCCCCAAAAAACCACCTAGGAAGGCATTCTGGTTACTGAGAGAATGGGGTCTGACATGATAGTATTTATATTCTGACCTCCACTCCCATTTAAAAATACATTTTTATTGGTTTCAGAGAAGGGGAGGGAGGGAGAAGATAGAAATGAGGGAATCCTTGGTCAGCTGCCTTCTGTACATCCCCCACCAGGGATTGAGCCCACAGCCCTAGGCATGTGTACTGACAGGGGAATCAAACTGATGCTCAACCACGGAGGTACACCAGCCAGGTTCCACTTCCATTTAAAAAATACATTGATTTTTTACAGAGAGGAAGAGAGGGATAGAGAGAAACATCGAGAGAAAATCGTTGATCAGCTGCCTCTTGCACACCCCCCACCGGGGATATGCCTGCAACCAAGGCACATGCCCTTGACCAGAATTGAACCCGCGACCTTTCAGTCCTCAGGCTGATGCTCTATCCACTGAGCCAAACTGGTTTCAGCTCCACTTCCATTTTCTAAAATTTGTTGTCTTGTCAGGAGCCATGACTGGCCTTAGCTTGTTTGGCACAGTGGACAGAGCATTGGGCTTGTGGACCAAAGTGTCCCAGGTCCAATTCCAATCAAAGGAACATGCCCAGGTTGTGGGCTTGAGCCCCAGCAGGTGGTGTGCAGGAGGCAACCAATCAATGGTTCTCAACATTGATGTTTGTCTCCCTCTCTGAAATCAATAAAGATGTATTAAAAGAATAAGGTCTGGACTTCGAATTCAGCTCTACCACCTACTAGAAGTGAAACACCCATCCTTGGTACCAGTTTCCTAGCTGAACTGGAGAAATCACAAGTGGCTATGAGATGGAGGAAATTAGGCTGGGCCTCAGATCCGATTCCTTCCAATGGGCCATGCTGGATTCCTGAGCTGAGACTGGTGGGGTGGGATGAGCATGGGCAGATGTGTCTGACCAACAGAGAAGGACTGGATAGTCACTTAGGGGAAGGGTCAATCTCAGAAAAACCTCATGGAAATTTTTTACATTTTTTTTTTTTTTTTAAATTGATTTTTTACAGAGAGGAAGAGAGAAGGAAGAGAGTTAGAAACATGGATGAGAGAGAATCATCGATCAGCTGCCTCTTGCACATCCCCTACTGGGGATGTGCCCACAACCAAGGTACATGCCCTTGACCAGAATCTAACCCAGGACCTTTCAGTCCACAGGCTGACGCTCTATCCACTGAGCCAAACCGGTTTTGGCACATTCTTACTGTTTTATGTGAATTCCAAACAGAATGATACACATTTCCCAAGGAGTTTTTTTTTTGTTTTGTTTTTTTTAATATATTTTTATTGATTTTGTACAGAGAAGGGAGGGAGAGAGATAGAAACATCTATGAGAGAGTGAATCATCGATCAGCTGCCTCTTGCACAGCGCCTACTGGGGATATGCCCGCAACCAAGGTACATGCCCTTGACCGGAATTGAACCCGGGACCCTTCAGTCCCTAAGCCGACGCTCTAGCCATTGAGCCAAACCGGTCTTGGCTCAAGGAGTTTTTGAGGTGGGGGAAAGGAAAGGCATAAGGAATAGAGATAAAAGGGAAAAAAGGTGCTGAGGCTGGAGTCTTATCAAGTGAAAAATGTGAACTGGTTTGGGCAGGGGCTTCCAAGTCCAGAGATGATACTCCATATAGACACACCCACCCAGATGAGCCAGGAGTCCTGTTCATCCCCCGTCCCTGCTGTGGCCCTGGAGAAGCTCTGCAAAGGCAACTTGTTAGAAGAAAAAGTACCTGGATATCAAATAATCAGCTTCTTCAGTGGCTGGCGTCCTTGTGGCCTCATCTTTGATCAAATCCACACCAATAAAAAGCCCGACGCCCCTGGAGCAGAAGGCGACATATCAGAGTCCAGGCTTGAGGGACCACAGGCCTTATCCTGTGCCTTGGTCTCAGCCAAGTCCCATTGGAAAGTCCACCACTCCTGGAGACAGAGTCACAGGAACTGGTGGTCGAGGTGGTGGTGGTATATAGTAAATTATTGCAATGGGGAGGGGTCCTCAATTTCAATAGGAAAGGTGGTGGTGGTGGTGGGTGTAGGGTGTGTGTGTGTGTGTGTGTAGTCAGAGCTATTTGATCCTAGCTTTTCCCATCCCTAGAAATGCCACTCTGGACAACAGCCCCTCTCAGTGCTTTAGCTATTCCCCTGTGGTGATTCCCGCCATCCCAGATGGTTAGGAGGTGAAAGAAGAAATGACTCCAGGCCTCTTGCAGGTTCTTGGTTAATGGGTAGTGACTATTGCCCCAAGCCTCACCTGATGTCCCCGATGATAGGATGCTTGGCTTTCTGCTGCTCGAGGAGCTCCATCAGGAAGCTGCCTACACAGGTAGCGTGAGCCTGCAGCTGTTCCTTCTCTAAGACATCCAGGACGGCCAGCCCCACTGCACATGACACTGGGCTGCCCCCAAACTGAGCCAGGGGCAAAGGGCATGTCAGATGTCCAGCAGAGGAAGGGAGAGGGAGAAGGAAAGGGAGAGGCATCAATGATGAGAATCACTGACCGGCTGCCTCCTACACGCCCCCTACTGGGGATTGAGCCCATAACCTGGGCATGTGCCCTGACCAGGAATCAAACCCTGACCTGCTTCATAGATCTATACTCAACCAGTGAGCCAAACCTGTCTCACTGTAATTTTCCTTAGTTCCCTCTTTAATTCCAAAGGCTTGGGGCAAATAGCTGCAAAATGCTATTCCTGGAAGCACTTTTCTCATTCTATTGAGATCTTGCTTCCCGGTGTATCCTCTGGCTCAAATATTTCCCACTCTGTTACTTTAATTTTTCAGTTACAGTTGACATTAGTCTAAGATGACATTAAATATTTTAAAACAGTGGTTAGATATTTTTTTTCTTGTTAAGCCTCACTGGAGGATATTTTTTTCCATTTATTTTATTTTTTAATAAGTTTTTATTTACTTCAGAGAGAGAAAGGGAGAGGGAGAAATAGCAATGATGAGAATCATTGATCAGCTGCCTCCTGCATGCACCCTATTGGGATCAAGCCCACAACTGGGCATGTGCCCATACTCAACCGCTGAGTCACACAGAGTGGCTCCATGGAAGGGAAGGAGGAGGGAGAGAAACATTGATGTGAGAGAGCCACATCAACTGGCTGCCTCCCGCAGGTCTCCTTCCTGCAACCTAGATACGTGCCCTTGATGGGAATAGAACCTGAGACCCTGTGGTTATCAGGCCAACAATCTAGCCACTGAGTTACACTGGCCAGATTTGACATAATTTTGGCTCAATTTTTGAAAAATATATATTTTTATTGATTCGAGAGAGGGAAAGGGACAGAGAAACATCAATGATGAGAGAGAATCGCGGATGGGCTGCCTCCTGCACGCCCCCAACTGTGGATGGAACCCACAATATGGGCATGTGCCCTCACCGGGAATTGAACCAATGACGACCTGGTTCCTGGGTCAATGCTCAACCACTGAGCCACGCCGGCTGGGCTGGCTCAATTTTTTTTACAAAAATTCTCTACATTCTTTTTGTTGTTAATCCTCACCCTAGATGTTTTTTCCATTGATTTTTTTTTTTTTTTTTAAAGAGTGTGTAAGAGAAGGGGAAAGACAGGAGCACCAATGTGAGAGAGACACATTGACTGGTTGCCACCAGCACGTGCCCCGAACGGTGCCGGGGATGGAGCCTGCAATGGAAGTAAGGTGCGTGCCCTTGACCAGAATCAAACCCGAGACCCTTCAGTCTGCAGACTGGCACTCTAACCACTAAGCCAAACAAACTAGGGCAGGTTCAGATGTTCTTACATCACTGAGCCTGTTGTTGACCAAAACATTATGCTATAGCTCAATGATTTGACTGTAATTCAATATGATTTGACAAATGTGTAAAATTAGAACCTTCACCACAACGAGGACACAACACATTTCCATCTTTTTTTTTTCTTCTTTTTTTTTAGTGCAAATGCTATTTTATTTTTAAATATATTTTGTTGATTTTTTTACAGAGAGCAAGAGAGAGGGATAGAGAGTTAGAAACATCGATGAGAAAAAAAAAAAAAAAAAGGAAGGAAAAAAAATAAACATCGATGAGCAAAATCTCCATCACTTTCCAGTTGCTTGTATCCCCCTCCACTACTGGCCCAGGCGGCCACTGACCTGATTTCTGTCATTACAGTTTTGCCTTTTCCAGAACGTCATATAAATGGAATCACAGAATATGTACCCCTTTTGTGCCTTGTTGCTTCTACTAAAAGTGTTTTTGAAATTTATCCATTTTGGTATGTATTAGTTTGTTCATTTTGTTGTTGCATAGTATCCCATTGTATGGACATACCATAATTTGTTTATTCAATCTCCTGTAGGTGAACCCTTGGGTTATTTTTATTTTTTACTATTAAGAATAAAACATTAATATTTATAACAAGTTCTTTTGTAAACATATATTCTCATTTCTCTTGGGTAAATACCAGACTGCTGGATTATATGATAAATATATAGTTGATTTTATAAAAAAGTTTTCCAAAGTAGTGGTATCATTACTTTCATAGACTTATGAATTCCAGTAGTTCCACATCCTTAAAAACATTTGGAATTGTCAGTTTTATTTATTTATTTATTTATTTTTTAAATATCTTTTCATTGATTTGAGAGAGAAACATCAACCCACAGCCTACCTAATGCCCCCCCACTGGGGATCCAGTCCACAGCCCAGGCATGTGTCCTGACCGGGAATTGAACTGAATCCTCCTGGTACATGGGACGACGCCCATCCAACTGAGTCACCCTGGCCAGGCTTCTCAGTCGTTTTAATTGTAGCCATTCTTATGGGTGTGTAGTGTATCCTGTAGATTATCTTGAAAATTTGTATGCAGAGCCCCATACTTGAGATCACAAAAAGCTACCAAGGTGATTCTGCTATGAGGCAGCTTTTTTATAGGTCAAAAATTATGTGTGGAATGGACAAAGGATATATTGAGGCTACATATTGTATATTATTTAACCATGAACTTGCTAAAAGGTAGTGTGTCTTTGGTGTAAATCATGACCTGCCCAAGATGCTCAATGAGCACAATAGATAAGTCTTTACCCCCAAGACCACCCCAGAGGGACAATAGAAAGAAAATGAATGAAAGCTTTGACACAGTTCTGGAAATCTAGAAGGCCATGCATATGTGTAGGGATATGCTCAAGCCCAATGCGAAATTTCAGGAAAGATCTGAAAAGTCTTGCAGCTCCGAAGGAGGAGGAAGGAAAGGCTAAGGCTGAGTTGTCAAGTGCTTGGCTGAGTGTTGAAGCACACCCTACCCACACCACAACACGTCAACTCTTGTGAAAGGCTGAGAGACCTCGGTTCCAGGCATTTAAGGCGATGTCTGCCCAATCATTAGATAATTACTAAGCTATCCAAGCAGAGACTACAGTGGCTATTCATGGCAAAGAACAGATTTACAGAATTAGTTCAAAGGAGGCATAATACAAAGAACAAAAAGCAATAGACTACAATGAGATACTATGATTTCCAAAGTTGTCACATTATATTATTTAAAACTAGAGGCCTGGCCTTTGGGATTGGGCCGAAACGGGCTCTCTGACATCCCCTGATGGGTCCTGGATTGTGAGAGGGCCCGGGCCAGGCTGAGGGACCCCACTGGTGCATGATCAGGGCCAGGGAGGGACTGCAGGAGGGTTCTAGGGCATGTCTGAACTGTCTTAGTCCCAATTTTATGTATTTGAAATTAAGGGAATATAGAAAAGATTCGATAAAGGTGGTTTCAGGGATTGGATTTTAGGGTAGTTAAGATTATGTGTTCTCTTGAGGGTATTAAGGGTTATTCTGGCATTTTTTTAATTTTAATTTTAATTATTTTATTAAATTATTATCTGTGTACATATTTTAACATTGCCCCCCCCCCCCCATACATACCCTCCCTCCCCAGAGTTTTGTGTCCATTGGTTGTACTTATATGCATGTATACAAGTCCTTCGGTTGATCTCTTATCTGGCATTTTAAAGGTGTCTTAACTTACATGCACGAGAACAGTGGGAAGGCTTGCTTAAACCTTTGCTCATAAGTTACAGGCAAAAAGAAAAAAAAGTTATAGGCTTGGGTGGGACTATCCATCATGAACTGCCCAGTTAGGAAATTATGATTAAAAAAATTTTTTTTTAATTGATTTCAGAGAGGAAGGGAGAAAGCAATAGAAACATCAATGGAAAAAAGAATAATTGAAGGCTGCCTCCTACATGCCCTCTACTGGGGATTGAGCTCACAACCTTGGCATGTACTCTGACTGACTTCCTGGTTCATAGGTTGATACTCAACTACTGACCCACACTGGCCAGGCAGAAATTATCATTTATTATAGCAACCCCTTTTTGTCCACAAAAGAAAGAAGGAAACATGGTGCATATGGATTGGTGGAGAGGAAAAGCAAGCAATAGAAACTGAGAATTTCCCTAAGGAAACCCAGATTTTGGCCTTGTTAGACAAAGGCTTTAAGTGTCATATGTTAAAAGAGCTAAAGGAAACCATATCTAAAGAACTATTATAAAAAGGCCGAAACCGGTTTGGCTCAGTGGATAGAGTGTTGGTCTATGGACTGAAAGGTCCCAGGTTCGATTCTGGTCAAGGGCATGTACCATGGTTGTGGACACATCCCCAGTGGGGGGTGTGCAGGAGGCAGCTGATCGATGATTCTCTCTCATTGATGTTTCTAACTCTCTATCCCTCTCTCTTCCTCTCTGTAAATAATCAATAAAATATATGTTAAAAAAAAAAAGAACTAAAAAGCAAAACATGAAAACAAGGTCTCACCAAATACAGAATATCAATAAACAGAAATTAGAAAAAAGAACCAAACAAATTCTGGAGTTGAAAAGCACAGTAACTGAAATAAAAAATTCACTAGAGAGGCTCAACAGTAGACTTGGACAGGCAGATGAAAGGATCAGCAAACTAGAAATATGTCAATTGAGACAAATATGTCCAGTCTGAAAACCAGAGAGAAAAAAGAATGGGGGCGGGGAGAAGGAAGAACAGAGCCTCAGAGACAAGTGAGATACAATTGAGTATACCAACATATGTCAATGGGAGTCACAGAAAGAGAGGAGAAAGGGGCAGAATGAAAAATAGAAATAATGGTCAAAACGTCCCCAAATAATGTACAATAAGGTGACTACAGTTAAAAGAACTGTTTTGCAGTCTTAGCCAATTTGGAAAGAGTGTTGGCCTGTGGATGGAAGGGTCCCCGGGTTTGATTCCTGTCAAGGGCACGTACCTTGGTTGCAGACTCCTCCTTGGCCTGGGCCCTGGTTGGGGCTTATGCAGGAAGCAACCAATCGATGTGTTTCTCTCACATCAATATTTCTGTCTTTCCCTCTTTCTTCCACTCTCTCTAAAAATCAATGGAAAAATATTCTCAGGTAAGGATTAAAAAAAATACTATATTGCATATTTAAAAAATATATTTTAAATGGATTTTAGAGATAGGAGGGGAGAGGGATAGAAAGATAGAAATATTGATGAAAGAGGAGCATCAATCAGCTGCCTCCTGCGTGCTCCCTAATGAGGATTGAGCAAGTAACCTGAGCAGTAACCCCTCAATGGCAGACAAAATACACAATGCCCAGTTAAACTTGAAGTTCAGATAAACAATAAGTTTTTTTTTTTGTATATGATACTTACTTAAACTGAAAATAAAATATCTGAACTTCAAACTTAACTGGGAGTCCTGTATTTTTCTTTGATGAATCAGGCAGCCTTACTCATGGAGGTGCCCTGCCCTTGTCTCACTTGTTCTGGGCTGCATTCTCATAGCAAAGCAGAGCCTGCCATTTAGGTGTTCAGTTTATCTGCTGCCAAAATTTTTGTATGCCCCTCCCCCCATATTTATTTATTTATCAGAATTTTATCCAAACACTAAAAATTCTATTAAATATATTTTGGGGAAAATATTCTATCATCTATAGTTCTTTTTCATTTCTGTAAAACTGTCATATAAGTATCTATCTACCCTCATCACGCTACCTTTGAGAATTAAACCAGTTAAGTGATGTTAAAGTTTAGCAATGTTCCCGGTTGACCTGGAGAATCTCTTATACCTGCTAGTGGGGTGTTAGCTTGTGACCTGCTTTGGAAAACAGACATCATTGTCTCAAAATGAACATGAGTCAGCAATCCCATTCTTAGGTTATTCCTAAAAACCCCCTTGCACGGGCAAACAGGGTTTATATAAATGGTTCATACCGATAAGCACTGTTCACAACAGCAAAAATCAGGAGTGCAGCTGGAAAGCACATCAACAGGGTTGCATAAATAAACCAAAAGTAGTTTATACAATGGAATATTATAACGAGTCAAAACAAGTGGACTTCAGTGACAAGCGATGGAGGTGACCCTTAGTAGTATGTTAGGTGAAAAAACACACAAATCCCTAAAGACTACATACTTGCAGCCTGATCCACTACTTACAAAGTTAAAAAACTGAGAATAACTAATGAATAAGGGATTCAGAGTGATGGCTATCTGGGCTGGGGGAGGCAGGGACTGGGAGCAACCATACAGGTAAATAGACGCAGGTTATTTTCAAGGACCTAACGTTTATTTGGGATGATAGCTTCTCAGATGCTTGTACCAGTAATAAAAGTAACCAATTAACGGATTAACTAAAAGAGGACTATGCGAGAACAGACGGTAAGTCTTTCATGAACCATGGACTGACTACATAATCCATGTGTGCTTCAAGACAGACAGACACAAACACCAGGCTCTGGCTCCAGTGGGTTGTCTTTCACCTAACACAACCCACTCCTTCCGCGCAGGGCCAATTCCTCCTCATCCTCCCACACCCATAGGAATCCTCCCCTGCTCCTTCCATTCCTCTTCTGCGTGCTCTTACCTGAGTCCCTGTGCCCTCCAGGCACTGTGAACACACTGCTCCCGTGAGGTCTTTCCGCACCACGTGAGCAGGTTTATGAGCCCATCTGCCCTCTGAACAGTGGACTTGTTTAGGGCAGAGGCTCTGTCTACGTGTCAGCTGGGTATGTAGTGAGTTTGCTGAGCACCAGCTTTCGTCCTTAAAAACCTCTGACAAATCTCAACCATCCTGCCCAATCCTGACATGTTTCAGGCCCCAGTTCAAACTGACTCTTCTTAGGGAGGTGACAGTGTGTTCTTTCCCTCAACCTTTGTCCTTCCCTATTCTCCTGTGTCCAGATTTGGGCTCCTTCTCTCTTGCCTCCCTGTAGTCTTTTTCCACACTGAGAACTTCTAACATGTATCAGATCTTATCTCTCACAGATTAAAACCCTCCATAGTTCTCACAGCCCTGGGGACTAGTCCACTCTCCGCTCTTTTACCAGGAGGCCATCTGCTGACCACATGCTCCCCTCACCCGCCACATAACTGCGCTCTTGGCACCACTGAACATGCCGTGGCTTCTCCTCCCACCGGGATCCACTTCACTTAGGGAACGCTCAATCCCACACCGCACCTCCTCTACGCTCCCACTGCAACATGAGCGCTAATCCTAGGCCATCCACCACCCACACAGCTCCTCACGCATTTTAACCAGCTTTCAGCACAGGGACTTGCACACAGTAGGCAGCTTCTGCTGGAAGGGAGAGAGGGCCTCTTGTTTTCTTTCTATATGTTTTATGAGGCATGATTTTTTGCCACAGCTTTTGGGTTGATACTAATCTTAAAGAGGTTTGTTATTTTCCTCTGACCTGCTTTACTGTTCCCTGGCCCCCACCCACCCCCACAGCACCTTAGACATCTTTGCGGTGGCCTATAAGAACCCTCAGTGCTCCCCGGAACCTTCACTCACCGTATTGAAGTACTCGACACCGGTGGCTTCAAATGCTCTTGCCACAGCTTGGGTTGTGGCCACACAGGCTACAGGGTGGCCATTGCCAATGGACTTGCCCATGGTGACAATGTCAGGGACAAAGTCTTCCCCCTGCAGCTGGAAGGCCCAGAAGTGCTTGCCGACTCGGCCAAAGCCCACTTGAATCTCGTCTGCAACAAAGACCCCTCCAGCCTTGCGGATGTGCCTGTGGCAGAGGACAGAGGGCTGACGGCTGACTGGGCGACTGTGGTGAGAGGGATCAGAGCAGGAGCTGGGAGGCCTTGGGACTCTGAATCCTGGCTCTGCCAACAGTGAGGTTGAGGCCTTAGGCAGATGGATGGCCTTCTAGGGGGCCACTATTTTTTCAGGGGCTTCGAAAACTCTGGCAAACAGGTGAGACGGAGGATGTCATTTGGAACAAAGGTTGGGAAACCGCATTACAGCCCTGGCCTCCCTGGAGCTGCCCCTCCTTACTCTGCCACTTCCGGGAAGTAGCCAGCAGGGGGAATGATCTGCCCTCCCACACTGGGCAGAGACTCAGCGAAGAATGCGGCAATCTGTGGACAAGAGGAGATGTCAGGAACACTGACCTGGAGGTTCTGGGGCAAATTCAGAGTCCTGCTGACGCTGGCTCAGGGCTGGCTCCAAGCAGTTGTTGCACCCCTAGTTCGGGCTCATCGCATCTGTTTTCTAGATTCAGCCCTCAAACCAATTCTTACAACCTGGATGCCTCCAGACTCCTATACTTAGCATGCCTCAGAAAAAATCCACTGAATTCTCCCCACAAGCCTGTTTCTCCCCTGCCCCCATCCCTGATCCAGACCCCTCCTTCATCCATCAGTCAGCACAGCCTGACTTCCTCTGTATCATCTCTGCACCCACTCCTTGCCATCCACCTGGACACCTCTGTCTCCCACAGATCTGCCAGTTTCTGCCTTGGCCTCCTGCCAGGGTCTTCGAACTGGATGGCTTTTCTAGTCCATCCTCCAACTAGCCACCAGGGTGATGCCTCAACCCAGACACCAAGCTCTCCTGGTTTGAAACCCTTTCATGACCCCTTCTGCTCACAGTAATGACTTCCCAACTATGTTCTGCCTTAAACCTTCTTTAGAAGCTTCAGCCGGATGAGGGAAAAGTAAATAGGGTAGAAAACTGGTCCCTCAGCCCTGCTGCCACCAGAGCAACCTCTTTTCTGGTTTTATGTAAGTGGGTGTAGAGTATCTGAAACACATAGGCCAGCCTTCCCAGATCTGGCTCTGCCAACCTTTCTGGCCTTGTAGCCTGCCTGCCTTTGCTGTTACATTCTGTGTTTATGGTATACCCAGAGAGCCCTCACTCCCATCACTAACCACCTCCCCCCTACTGTCACTGTGGCTGCTGTTCTTCCAGGTACAACCCATCTGTTCTGTCTCTGCCCTCTCCATCTCCACTACGCTGACCTGGGTTGGGCACTCTACTTTGCTTACTCACCTTCAGGCTGGCCCCATTCAAGTGTATCTCTAGTCTTATTACCCTCCCTCTTCAAACTCTTCGGAGGTTTGCCATGGTCTCCAGCCCCTCGGCCCGGCACCTGGGGGCCTCTGGGATCGGGTCCGCCTCTTGCCCGCTCAGCCTGGTGTCCCACTCGATGGTTCCTTACCCTCTATTTAGGATGCTTTCCTCTTTTACCTCCAACTCATATTACTGAAATCAGGCAGTACCTTCTCGAAGGACCCTCCTTCACAATCCAAACCAGCCCAGCCTGGGCCCCAGGACACATCTCTGGTTCGGAGTCTCTCCGGGTTCTCTGTATCTAGCACCAGCAGCAACAGAGGAAGTGATGGTCACTGTTGGCTGGGCTGGAGCCATGCAAATAGTTACCTGCCTGCCCTGCTCCTGTGCGCTGCTGACCACACGTTTCACCTCATGGGCATAGGCCTCCGCCGGGTTGGGGTGGTCCTCCCGGTAGAGGCCCCGGTATGTGTCTGGGAGGGGTGCCTGTGGGGAGTGACAGCGCCGTGTCACACAGACTCGGGGTGGCCACCGACCTGTTGCCCCCTTGGGCCGTGCATACCACATGGACCCACTCCTTCTGGCCATCGAGGTGCCGGAACTTGTAGGGGCTGATGTCGATCAGAGAGCTCAGGTGACCGTGATAAGCACTGGGGAGGAGAAGGGAGGGTGGGCTCAGGCCCCGGTGGCGCGAGTCTCTGGCCTGGCCTCGACCAGCATCTACCCTCCTCAGGAGACACACCTTTCTGACACAGCCCCCTAGTCCTAGGGCTGGGGATGGGCACAGGCTGTGGGGTCAGTAAGACTTCCTCTGAGGCCGTGGAACAGGGGCTCATCACTTAGGCTCTCTGGGGTCAGTTCTCTCCTCTGTACAGTGGCTTCTCCTCAGGGTTGTAATGACCTTGGATGTGCTAAGGCGCTAACCCTGGCCCTGGGCCTGTGCAGCACATACAGTTTTAATACCTCAAATGTGGGGCCAACTCTTAACCCCTCACAAAGCTTCCTCAGCTTCCCAGAAGCTGCCCTCTTGGAAGAGAGACCAGGGCAAAGAGCCCCCGGGAGTGTGTTGGGGAGTCTCTGCAGCGATGGTCCCTCATCCTTCCTGCCCAAGGCACCCAAAGTTATAGCCAACTTTGATCCCCAACAAGTGGTGGGCCAAGCTTCTGGGAATGGCACTTACTGGTCTAATACCACCACGTCCCAGTGTCCTGTGTACTGGCGGGCCAGCCTCAGGGCTAGGTCATTGGCCTCCGACCTACAACAGAAAAGGTGGGCACTGCTCAGACAGCTAAGGGCTTTCCTTCCTGGGGGCCTGCTTCCCACAGGGAAACCCAGAGGAAGGTGGTGCCCCGCCAGCAGCAAGAAGATTCTTGGGACATCATTCATTAGTAACTAGGTACAAATCCATCAAAGGCCTTCCTCCTGTGTGCTAAGACTAGGGGCAAAACAGTGAAACAGACAGACCCTGACCCTCCTGGAACCTACATTCTGGTTTGTGTCACAAAAGCAAAAAACAAACAAAACCATTCCCAAAATCCAAACACCAAAGAAAAAAAGAATGTTCACTCAAAAGGACCAGATGGGACCCTACTTTAGATATGGGGGTGCTATGGGCTGAATTGTGGGTCCCACAAAATTCATATGCTGAAGTCTTCAGAATGTGGCTGTGTTTGGAGATGGGGCCTTTAAATAGATAATTACATTAAAATAAGGCCATTAGGGTGGGCCCTCATCCAACCTGAGTGATGTCCTTCTGAGAGGAAATGTGGACACAGAGACACCAGGGCTCACGCACACAGAGGAAAGACCATATGAAGACAGATGGCCACCTGCAAACTGAGGAGGGAGGGCCTTAAAGAAACCAAATCTAACGCCTTCATCTTGGATCTGGCGTCCGGAACTGTGAGAAGACAAATGGCTGCCGTTTAAGCCTGCGGTCAGGGCGGCATTTGTACGGCAGCCTGAGCGAGGACAGGGGTCAGGAGGGCTCCATGAGGAGGCAACACCTGCACTGAAGCCTCAGGGGGGCGTTTCCAGCACAGCAAGCAGCACTGAAGAGTTTTAACCAGAGAAGAGACAATTCAGCTTCCATTTGAGGCCGCCGCCTCTGGCTATGTGTGTGTGATGGAGTAGAAGGAAATCAAAGTGAAAGTAAATCTCCCGAGCTTGCCAGGTTTGGAAGGTGGCCCCTTGCCCATCCACAGCAGTCACAGATTAAAATAAAAAGAACACACTATTTCAATGAAAAAAAAAAAAATGTGGGAGTGAGGAGAGCAAGGAGGAGGACAGGCAAGAGAGAGTAGTGGTGGCCATGAGGAGAAAGGGAAGGGGCTGGAGCCGTCCTAGAGGTGAGCCAGGACTGATGCAGGACTGGGAGAAGGGTTTCTGCCATGAGCAGAGATGCAGATGGTTCTGCCATTTACCAGGCAAGACAGGGTGCGGGTGGTAGTGAGGGGGATGTCCTCTTGGGAAGATCTGGGGTGAGTGCCTAGAAAAGGAAGGGAGAGCTGGGGGCCATGGTCCCACTCCAGGTGCTGGCAGAAGACAATCATGTCCTTATTGCCTTTTCCACACGTGAAGCTGATGTTCAAGAAGTCAAGGGGGTGGTTAGAACACATGGGAAGCATCTGGGCTTGAGAGACAAGTTAGGGAGCAACCAGCACGAGGACGCTAGGTAATCCCATGGGAAAGAAAGAGATCAGCAGGGAGAGGTTCAGAGAGGACCTGCCCTGAGGCACAGAGGAGTTAGCAGAGGAGACAGGAGAAGCGGCCAGAAGCTAGGGAGAGTGAGGATGCGCAGTGCCCTGGAAGCCAGACCAGAAGCATTTCTAGAGAGAGTGGTAACTGACAGTATTGCTGAGAGACAGAATAAGACAAAGGCAGCAAAGAGACCACTGCATTTGGCAGCACGGAAGGCGCTGGAACCCACAGAGTGAATCTGGTGGAGAAAGCCAGCAAATGTCCCTTCCTCCGCTGCCAAGGAAGCCCCACTCCTGCAGCCAGCTCCCTGCTCTTCCTAGCGAGGCTCCAGCTATGGCTTCCATTCCTTATGCAGGTGGCTCTGGGCACACTAGCTTCATTTAAACTGCTCTTTCCACACACACACACACACACACACACACACACTTCAAGTTTAATCGTTTCCTCGGTGTAAACATGAATTTTGACACTTATTTGATCATATGTAGAATTGTAATTTATATTTTTATCTTAAGGAATATTTATTATATAAAAATGTATATCCATTCTATGTATTTTCCTTACAATTCTGAGGAAGTGAAAAGTATTAAAAAATAAACTGTTTCCTTATCTATAAAATGAAGATGTAAATTCCACTTCCTAAAAAAATTGGAGGGGACTGATTAATGTACTATGTCAGTGGCAATGATAATGATAATAATACTATAATCTAAATGCCTCAACCTACGATTTGTTGGAATGTTCTCTCAGAATGCTGGTTCTATGTACATGTCATCGCCTGCCACTCTGTCTCCACTGCCTCTTCTAGTGTGTGCTGCCACCATCTGTCACCTGGCTGCTGAAATGGCACTTAATGGTGTCCATTCTCCCTCTCCACCAGCCCTGATGACATCACCTGCCTGATCAAAATCCTCTGACGACTTCCCAATGCTCTTAGGATAAAAACAGGTTCTTTATTTGGCTGATAAGGTCCAGGATGATGGGCCCTGTCTCCCTCCCCAGTGCCTGCTCCCCTTCTCCCCTCCCTCACTGGCTGCCTATAGTTGGTTCCTCCAGTGTGCTGGGCACCTTGCCTCTTCTGCTGCAGAGCCTTTGCACAGGCTGTTCTGTGTGGTAATCAACCTTGATAAGAACACTTACGATGAGGTGGGCGGCACCCTTCCTCCTCATCTAGTCATTTCCTCGTCAGCTCTTAGTCTAGTATCACTTCTTCAGGGAAGCCTTTCCCAGTCCTCTCAGAGCAGGCCAGGTCTGCTTCTATGCCTCTTTATATCCTACTAGAGGTCTGGTGCATGAAATGTGTGCATGGTTAGGGTCCTTAGGCCTGGCTGGCAATCAGGGCCAATCAGGCCTTCTGGCTGCAGGCCAGGGCCTTCCTTCCCTGGCTGCCGGCTGGGGCCGTCCTTCGTTTCGCACTCCGTGGGCTACACTCTGCGGCTCACCGGTGAGCGGCTCTCCTCATCTTGCTAGGGGGCCAGCTGCATGCACTTACCCAGAATTCAGGAAATAAAACACACAGAGCTTCTCTGGCAGGGTCTCCGACAGCCTCTGTGCGAAATCCACAATGTTGTCGTGCAGGTACCGGCTGTTGGTGTTGAGCACCTGGTTCTGTTCATGTGCTGCTTGGACCACGAGAGGGTGGCAGTGCCCAACTGGAAGAGGGCCACCTCCATCACACAGCTGACTCTGCTCATCCTATCCTTCCGGCCCTCCCCCACCCCCAATCCGTACACCCAGCCAGGGGAGACTCAGTACTGGAGGAAGAGGTGGAGAGGGAAGAGGGGAGCCTGAAGGCAGAGGCAGGAGACACAGGCCAGTTCTGGAAAGGGAGACTGAGAACGGATTCTGGTGGAAACCCCCTTTAGAAAGCCACGTCCTTGGAGGGAGGTGGTGTGCTACATGGAGGGGGCTGGGAGTGTCTGCCTGAGGGCTTGGCCTCATCAGTCAGAGGGGGCTGGAGGTAACAGCCGCCCAAGATGATGCTAACAGCAAACACGTGTTGGGAGCCCGCCGGGTACCAGGCACATGCAAACCAATTACAAGAATGAACTCAATGAATCCTCCAAACCACTCTCAGGTGGGTCCTCGGCATTATCATGTCTATTTTGCAGATGAGGAACAGAGGTTAAGAAACTTGCCTAAAATTACAAATAAGTGAAGGACAGGGTATAAACCCGGGCGTTCTGGGACTAGAGCCTCTACTTTATTAACTTCCAAGGTGCCTGCTCAGTCAGACTCGCTTTCCTCCCACTGGCTCTGGCCGCCCGATCTGGATAACGGAATTCCTACTTCCGTTTTCTTCCCTAGGGCCTGAGGTGGTCACTGGGGCTGAGGCCTTGTCATGACCGCCAGCACTGGGCCAGGGGAGACCACTGCTAGTCGTGGCTGGACTGACTGCTGCTCTCTCGGCTTGCCATCAGTCCCAGGTGGGACTGGACTCCCAGACAAGGGTCTCAGACTACTGCCTGGCTTAGCACCGCTTCTACTTGGAAACTTTGACAGCTACACCAGAAAGATTGGGCCTCTTCTGCTCAGCTCAACCCCAGTTCTCCGCACCTTTCTGCACCTCAGGACCAGCCCTGGCCTCCTCGCCTGCCCAGCAGGCCCGAGTGATGGTACTGACCGTGAGCCACATTGTTGATACAATCGATGTATTCTGCTCCCTGTTCATCATACAAGTACTGCCCTTGGCCCCGGACAATCTTAATAGGATCCTCAGGAAAAAAGAGTCTGCAGGAAGAGCTGTGAAGACCGGCAAAAAAAAAAGTGGACAGCCATGCCTGAAGGCCTGAAGGGAGAGTCCACCCACCACAGACCTTCCCCACCCTTCCAGTTTCTGGAAAGGGTGAAAAAAGCTTGAGGGGCACCGTGTTGCTTCCCTGCCTCCAGTCCCCCCACATGGGTGGGGGCTGGGAAGGAGGAAAAGCGGGATGGAGGGTGGAAGCAGTTGCTAAAACTTAAATTGTTTAAGTCATGTTAAAGTTCCGTGGCCTCATTCATTTCCGCACGTGTCCGCATCACCAATCTATCCTCGAATCCCGGGAAAAGGTGGCCGCCCCAGATTCATTCAGGCTCCCTAGGGCAGTGTTTCTTTGCTGGGATGGGTGTCAGGGAGGGTCCCCCACCCTCCATGGCTGTCAGTGCAGTTACCCTGCTGCCCGCCCTGCTGGCTGCCGACTCCAGGCTCCGCCAGAGGCTGCTGCGCGCCCACGTCCTAAGAGTCCCGCTCAGGCTCTCTCCGGCCGCCCGTGAACCGCCTCCCCACCCCGCCTGCGTCTCAACTTCAGCCGCGTAACGGGGCCGCCCCTGGCGAGGTCCTCTCGGTGCCCGGCAAGAGGCCTTCTCGGGGGAAACGGGCCAAGAGCTCGGCCCGGAGTCGCAGGGTGGGCCGAGGGCAAGCAGCTGCCCGCAGGGCCGAGACTCGAACTAGAAAGCCGGGCTGGGCCGGCGCCGTCGCGCAGAACAAACGGGTCGTGCGTGCGCGCCCCCCGCGCCTTACCTGAGCAGCCGCCGCCTCCGCGCCAGCGTCGCAGCTTTCCCGTGCGGGTCGGAGTCCGCGGCCATGACGCCCGGCCGGTGCGCTGAGGAGCGCAGGACGGCCCCGCCCCCTCAATCGCCCCGCCCCTTCCTGCCATGGCCCCTCCCCTCCCATTTGCGGCCCCGCCCCGCCCGCTTTAGCCCCACCCTCCCTGTCGTTGCCCCGCCCCTCCCCTCTGCGGCGCCGCCCCCTCCCACCCCCTCCTGCGGCCCGTTTCAGGTTCGTCAATTCTTTCTGGGAACGAGCCTGGCCGGTTTCTTACAACCAAGTGATCCCAAGGAGACCTCCGCGGGTAGCGGTCCCCAGGTGCACTCGCCGTTGCTCCCATGGCGGGATCGGGGCTCCGGATTCAGAAACGGAGCCGCCTTCCCGGTGCATAACTTGGGACGCGCCGTGTTTGCTTGGACTCCAGGCCGGTGACCGCGAGCTGTGTCCGTGCTAATGGAGCATCAAGTGTTTAGGCAGGAGGAGAATGGGGAGGACTCCTGAGCCTCAGAGTAAGCACGTGGCCAGGACACCGAGGCCTGGAACCGGCAAGGACTTGGCTCTCACACAGCAAGTGTGCAGCTCAGGCCGGCCAGCCTCCCAGCCCTGGGAGCGGGAGGAAACGCCCCCTAGGAGTGAAGTGATGCAAAGCTGGCAGAGCAGAGAGAGCCCTCCTGGGGTGGGGCACTGGGACTCGGCCTTGATGAGCCCTAGAACAGGGGATTACAGCTCTCTGCTTTGCTCCTTCAACGCTGATTCCTTTGTCTCTTTCCCCATAAAAATGTAAAATGTTTATAAGAGCATTCATTAAAGAATATTTGGAGTTTCTTTTTCCCTTTTATTGTGGAAACATATACATAACATAAAATTTACGTTCACTTTGTGCAACCATACCACCATCCACCTCCAGAACGCTTCATCTTCTAAACGGGATAGAGTTTCTTTTAATTGTTAAGCTGAATTCAACCTTATGTATGATTGAAAACAAAACTCCTCCCAAATTAACCAAAAATTTTTCCCACATACAGGGGAGGGGCTTTGACCCTCAGAAACAAAGTACAGGCCACAGGCAACCCTTTGGGGTTTGTCTTTGGCCCTGTCTTGAGCCCACAAACGAATCTGTCTTGTGGCCCAGGGCAGCTCAGAGAAGTTAGGTTGTCTCAGGGCTTTTTTAGTCTCAGGGTTGAGGGTGAGAATATTGCAGCCACTTCTCATCTCACTCACTCTCCAGATGTCCAGGGTCAGGTGGCAAATCAGTTGGAGGTCAAGCCAGGCCTTCCCAACTGGGCCATTTCCCGGGCCAAGGGGCAGGTCAACACCAGGAAGCCTCTCCTTCCTGCTCAGAAAAACCCACTCATTTCTGCCTCGGGCCCCAGGCTAAGCACTCCTCTACCTATTATTTCATGCCCAGCCTTCTGGGGGCCATTGGAGGCCAGGAGGGCAGGGAATAGGAGGAAGTAGCTGAGTCGAAATTTGAACCTAGGGCATGGTGTTTCTCAATGCAGGCAGCACTGGCATTCTCATTGAGATGATTCATCATGAGACGGGACTGTCCATGCCTTTAAGATGTTTGATATCCCTAGCCCTGCCCACTGAATTCGAGGAGTATCTCTCAGTCATTGAACACCCAAAACTATCCCATGTAGTATTCTAGGGATCAGGAGGAGGGAAACCCTGCTCCTCTCATGGGGAGGAATTTCTGTGGTTAGTTTAGCTGCCATGGCACACTGTGGGGCTCAATAAATGTGCTTCCCTTTCTTCTGGAAGGGGGTAGTTCTTGTCAGGGAGATGTGAAACCCTTGGTCCTTGATGCTCTTCTGTGGGGCAAGGCACTCACCCATGTCTCATCTGGGGCCTCGAGCAAATCATTCTCTCTAGCCTCTCCTCCCCACTCCAAGCTCTTGGAGCCATCTGTACCCTCTAAAATTAGAAGTTTGCAGACCTGAGGATATACTGTGTGAGGCCACAAGGGGGCAGCAACGGGCCATAAGGACTTTGCCCTATCCAAAGGAGCAAGAAAGGGACCTTCTCTGGTGTCTGAGGAAGGGGCCACATGTGGCTTCTAAGAGGATCTGCCCACCAATCATCCAGCAGCATGGTGCTGCCTAGCAGACTCTAGGCCTGACAAGCAATTTCAGAAAGACAATCCTGGCTGTTTATCCCTAGGCAGAGGGCTATTACCTCAGCGTTTCAGTTTCCACAAAATGGAAATAATGACATGAATCACATAGGCTCCGTCCTTCACAGGTGGGGGGGATCCATGAGGTACCTGAGTGGAGGGAGGAGTGAATTTACAGACTGTAGAGTGCAGTAGATCTGTGAGGTTATGCTGGAATGCCAGAGGACACTTGGACAGCTTGTGATGTCCATCAGTCATCACAGCCCCACTGTGTTTCTCTTCCTTTTCACACTACTGGCTTCCCTGGTGACCAGGACGACCGGCTGAGCAGTGGGCCTGCCACGTACCGCCAGCCACTGAGGGAGACAGAGGTGAAGACGTGACACATTCCTCCTCCTTAGCTGGTGTAGGGCTGGGCCTCTTCTGCTTAGTGAGGAGGCCACATAGTAGAGGTCAGGGAGACTACTCAGACCATGGCCCTCCTTAGGCCTCAGTGCTTGGAGGGAGAAGGCCTAAAATGCTGTCATGCAGGCCTTGTCTACTAGTATACCACCCCAGATGTGCTTGGCTTTGTCATCTGTGAAATGGGCATATTTGCTGGGTCCCCCTCTCAGGGTTGTTTTAAGGACCAGCTGGAATAAACAATGTGGAAATGCTTTGCAAGACTATGGCCCTTGCCAAAACCGGTTTGGCTCAGTGGATAGAGCGTTGGTCTGCGGACTGAAAGGTCCCAGGTTCAATTCCGGTCAAGGGCATGTACATTGGTTGCGGGCACATCCCTGGTGGGGGGTGTGCAGGAGGCAGCTGGCCGATATTTCTCTCTCATCGATGTTTCTGACTCTTTATCCCTCTCCCTTCCTCTCTGTGAAAAATCAATAAAATATATCTTTAAAAAACAAACAAAAAAAGACTATGGCCCTTGCTTGGTCTTGGAGTGGGGGAGAGAGCAAGAATTCAGAATCATGGGAACTGCCAGGTGCCTGCCCTGACCTGAGTGAGTTATTGTATTCCACGCAGTTGGTTCTCATCAACCACAGTCAGAGTGTAGGCATCACTGTCCCTTTTTATAGATGAGGTGGCAACAAGAGCTACCTTACATTTCCTCCTTAAACTATGATGTTGACACTTTTCCCTTGAAAACGTTACCACTGATTGTGGCAGGAAGCAACACCATATGACTTCTGAGGCTTGGCCATAAAAGGTGACACAGCTTCCACCTGGTTCGCCATGGAACATTCGCTCCTGGGATTCAGCATGAGGAGCCAGACCATGACAGACAGGTGTTCTGGCCATCTCACCTCCCAGCTGACACCCAGCATCGGCTACCAGGTGTGGGAGAGTCTGAGCCACAGCCACCCCACTGAGCCCATTGACCTCAGCACTGTAAGAGAGAAATATAAAGGATCGTTATTTTAAGGCAACAAGTTTTGGGGTGACTTTCTATGCAGCAGTCACGGCTCCGGGATGTGACTGTCCAGAAGGCTCAGCTGGGACGTGGCAGGACTAGGCCTCGTGTCTGTGTCTTCCAAATGTAACCCCATGGCCCTGGGCTACTTCCTCCGGTTTCTGGGGTGGCTTTCTCCGGTTTCTGTCCCTCCCCACTTTGCAATGGCCAGGCTGAAACCTTAGCCAGAGGTGCCCCAGAGGCAGTCTGCAAGGACAGGCTCCACCGGACACAAATTCGTGGTTTATTACACACAGCAATACCTATCTACACAGAGAGGGGAGGCGAGTAGCCGGGCCAGAGTTGGTGGCTGGGGACCTTTGTCGGAGGCGGGGATGCCTTTTCCTTAGAGCCCGATGCTCAGGGTGCAGGCCCCTGCTCAGGCCGGCCGGGAACCACCCCGGGGTTCCCTCCGTCTGCACAGTTCCCCCGGAAGACCGCTTTCGGCTGGCTGACCAGAGTTCTCCTGGGTGGGAGCCTGGGGCCAGTGAGACCCCAGCTCTGAGACCCCATCTCCTCCGGCGGGCAAAGTCTCATCACATCCCTGCTCTGGGGCAGTGCGGACCGGCAGGAAGCAGAGTCCCTCCAGCATGGGCCTTGCCATCCTCCGCACTTGGGCACTGTGGGGCTCCCTGCAGGTGGGTTCACGTGGTGTTGATCACAGTGCTTGGCCTGTACTGCCGGCCAGAGGACACGTGTTCTCAAACAGGCTGGCTTCCTGAGGCTTCATGAACGTGGTGAGAGCTGGACCTGCGTGGGGTGCTTTCCACAGCTCCCTGTATCCAGCTGCAAGTGCTGGGCGGGAGTCTTGTCCTTCCCCGGGAACCCAGGGTCCAGGAGGGTGAGCAGCTGGCTCTGGCTGAAGAGGCCCGGAGCAGCTGCAGGGTGGTCCATGCCCCGGGGCCCCCCCCACAAGGGCCCTGGAGCTTCAGGGGGCAGGCCTTGTAGGGCAGCTGGGCAGCCAGACTCTCTGCCAGTCAGGGGACTGAAGGCCCAACCCGGCATCTCTGCAGCTTCTCCTGAGCCAGACACCGAATCCTGTGGTGGCCCCTCAGGCACACAGCTCCCAGGTCGGCCTGTCTGCGTTCCCGTCAGCTTCACATGCTGATTGCTCTGGGGCTGGGCCGGGCACATGCTCAAAGGTTAAAAGCCACAGGCAGTGCATCCCGTGAAAAGAGATCAATATATTACTGTCTTGTTTTTTTACAAAAGTTAAAAATGTCCACATGGATCTGTACAGGCGGTGAGCTGGGCACTGGTCACTGGAAAAGGAGAGAGAGACTGAGGTGAGGAGGGGCCTTGAGGCCCCTGGGGCCCCTCCCTGGCCTGGACCTCATCCATCCTGCCCATTTCCCCAGGAACAGGAACAGGTAGCACCCCCTCCCCTAGTCCCAGGCTCAAGAGGTGGGGGTAGGGGGGCAGTCTGGACAAAGTCTCACGGGGCGCTGATGGCTTGGCACTGGCAGGGCCAGATACCGAGTGAGCCGCAAGCAGCCAAGGGTGGGCTGTGCATAATCACCCAGGATTATGGCTCCGAGCCTAAGGTCACACGACGGGAGAGTCAAAACTAGGCTTGTGATAGGGACACCTGGCTGTTCAGTCACTGTAGGGAGCCGCAGAGACCCACCCCCAGGCCCCGCTTATCCCTCAACATCTCCCTGCTTGCCCTGGAGACTTCCCTACAAGGTACCTTATGCCAGCAGCCAGGCACGGGCAGCCCGTCAGTGCCCTGGAAAGAAAGAAGGTTTCAGTGATGGGGGCAAGGGCTGCTCGGCTCTCCGCCCTGGCACCCTCTTGCCCTGGGTGAAGGGATGTACAGCCCCGGGAGCTGCCATGTGAGGCTGCCAGAGCCTATTGAAACGTGACCCAAAAGCCTGCCCTGTCCATCCAGGCGCCCGGGCACGGGACAGACCACGCCTCACTCACTTGTCCTGATGCATCCCCGGGGCTGTGTTGGGACACCTGTGCAGGGGGCAGGACCGGGAGGACCCTGGGGTGCTGGGCTCATGCTGTACATCTGCTGATGGGGGGAGGACTGGCCTAATGGCCTTGATGTGGCCGCCATGACAGTGGCTTTCGACCCTCACTCTGAGGGCCTGAGAGTTTTCAGGAATTGAAGAGGATATACGGACAGTTCGGGAAGTGGGATCCTCTTCCGAGTGGCCCATCCTGGTCTCTGTGTCTGGATCTGAGCCACGGGGTCAGGAGGAGGCCAGCAGGGTGGACCCTGGGCATGGGAGTTGTCTGGAAGCATCGGCCATTACTGCTCAGCAATCAGACACAAGTGGGGGGTTGTGGGAGATGGTCCTCAAGTGGCCTGGAAGATGGGGGCCTGAGAGGGACAAAGGCTGGTCCCATAGTCCCTGGGGGGCCCTTGGGCAAAAACACTTCACTCTGTCCAAGGCACACTGACATGCATCTGGCAGGGGCACAGGCTGGGGCCTGAGGGTGGTGGGAGGAGGCAGGCGGGATCGGGAAGAGGGGCAGATGCCAGCACAGCACAGCACACAGCAGGCCAGACCATGTACCGCAGGGCAGGGCCTGCTGCCCCTCGCCAGGCCCTTCGAGCCCGGGGCCCCTCGCTTGCCTCCGCATTTAGGATTTTCCTGTTTCAAAGACAAAGACTTCATGACTTGGAAGGAAGTCTCGGCCCAGGGGCTAGCTCTGCAGGGCCACCTGCTTCCTGCTGTCCTCGGTACTTTCTGCCTGTGCTCCCTGCTCAGGGCTTCAGGGCTTTTTCTCATTGCTCTTCCAGCCATCTGAGGGAGGGCCAGCCCCCCACTGTACGGAGAGGAGGCTGAGGACCAGAGGACTGGGCCTCTGGGGGTCCCGGGCCCTGACCTCCCTTTGGTAGGTGGCCTCTCCCCATGCCCATGGCAAGGGGGGCCAGGGATGAACATCTATCTGGTCAGGTTTAGGATGGAGACTCAGCTGTTTCATTTCCCTGTCTTTTCTGAGCTCCACTGAAATAGTTTGACATGTAACCTCTGCTGCCTTCTAGACAAAGGAAACTAGACAAAGGAATTTTGGTTATTTTAGGTCCTGGTTGGGTGTGTGGTGACACAGCAGGAAAGGAGGAGGCTGTGGGAGCAGGGAAGGGAGGGGCCTGGGGAACTCGGGGGTGGGGCAGGGGAAAGCATGGGGCCTTCCAGGCAGAAAAGCTTCTCCCGGATGGGACAGATACCCAGAGAGGTAAGGGCGGTCCCACCCTCCTAAAAGGAGCAGTGATTCCGGAAACAGACTCTGCACTGGGGAGACTCCCTTTCTATAGAGGGGATGGGTCTCAAGTGGCACCCATGGTGGGGTCAGGACTAGAGCAAGAGGGCCCTCTGTGATGGGAGTGACAGGGACGGTGGCCCTGGCAGTGTAGGCAAAGATGACATGAAGATGCTGCAGGAGGAGGCAAAGACCTTGGTTGGGCTTCCCTCCTCTGACACGTACCACAGGGCACGGCTGGTCCAGGCCTGGCGGCCCCGGCTCACCCTTCTGGCCCTTCACTCCTTTCCGGCCGGGGACGCCTCGCTCTCCCTGCACAAGAAGGGAGATGGGGGTATGGCCATGGCTGCCATGCCCAGGGTGCCTCCAGCACCTCTGAGAGATGGGTTGGCAGCCCCCATCCCAGCCTCCACCTGCTCACCTGCCTCGACCTCTCTCTGCCTGCTTCTCACCTCCCATGTCCTTCCCGCCTCTTCCCTCCTCTTCACCTGCCTCCCTCCTCAGTGCTCCTGCCCCATCTCCTCTCCAGCTGCCCGCACTTTCTCTCCGCCTACCCTACCTTCTCTCCACGTTCACTCCGGTCGCCTTTCTCTCCTCGGGGTCCAGGGAAACCCTGACAAGGGGATTAAAGGTTAAACCTGAAGATGAGGTTTGAGGTTTTCTTCTCTTATCTGTCCATCTCTGCCCCTCCCTCCATATCCGTGGTACCAACTGGCCCAGTCCCAACTCCTAGGCAGGCTGACGTAGGGAGATGCGTGATTTAGGACACCAGCCCTGCTTCCTCTGAAGTAGAACCCTGTGGCAGTCTGTGGATGGAAGCCCCAGCAGTTTGCCAGGTCGAACAGGTGGGTGTGGCTTTGAGATGACCCCTGCGCGCTAGGCCTCCCAGAAGGCAGCTGTGGCCATGGAGTCTTTAGCTCTGCCCTGACTACCTCCCCGAGTCCAGATGTCTTCTTCTCCAGACCCTTGTCATCGATGGAACAAGGCCCTCCCAGTCAGACTCAGGCTAGAGTTCTTCCTCTTCCTTGTCTGCAGTTGCTCTTCAATGTGACACCTTCTCCTTAAAGTCCAGGGCAGACCCATAAGATTTGCAGCCCTGTATGTATGGTCACCATTTTCCTTCCAAGAGCTACCTGATTTTCCTAGGAACCCCCTCCTTTCTCATGCTTCATTGATTTCACTCCTAGCTCCAGGAGGGAGCATGTGATCAGGCCCGGCCAATTAGGGCACTGCATTTCTCTGGCCAAGTGTTATTTCAGCATTGACCCAACTAGGATCAATGAGAGTTGATGAGACTTTTTCTTAAGGAGTAGAGAGGGAGCCCAACTGGCATGGTTCAGTAGTTGAGCATCCAATCGAACCAGGAGGTTGAGGGTCAATTCCAGGTCAGGGTATATGCCCGGGTTGTGGGCTCCACCCCCATTGGGGGCATGCAGCAGGCAGCCTATCAATGATCCTCTCCTGTCACTGATGTTTCTATCTCTCTCTCCCTCTCCCTTCCTCTCAGAAATCAACAAACATATATTTTTAAAAAAAGAGTAGAGTGAGGTAGTCTTTCTCCAGAATTTGAGCCTGGAGAGATGCAGGTCTGGAGCTACTGGCTCCATCTCCTCATCACGTGGAACTTCGGATGATGCCCACACCGAGCAATCACGTACAAGAGAGGCTGAGAGTTTGTGTTGTGCTGACACACTTGAGCCCTAGATCCAGGTACTTCTGGATTTTTTTCCCAGTTATGAGCCAGTTTAAACCAGTTTAAATTGTGTTTTTTGTCTCTTGCAACCAACAGACACTTGATCCAGTCAACCTTGGACTAATACTCTCCCTCCTCTCTGTCCCACAATGCTTCCTTAGCAGAAGCATCTTCATTTCTCACCGGGATATTGCCACAGGCTCCTTACTGCTTTCCCCACCACCCTGCTCCAATGTATCACCCATCCATCATCTATTCATCCATCCATCCACCCATCCAAAAAGCACCTACTCTGGGCTGTGCATTGGACTTGGCACTGGGAACATCGGGGAAACCAGGCAGTTGTAGTCCCAGCTGTGGGAAAGGGCGTTACACCCAAGCCAACCAGATCATGCTACCGTAGTGCAGCATGAGGGCAAGAGCTACACACAGGAGGACCCGACCACGGTGAAAGGGGAGATACTTACATCTAGTCCTGGTTCCCCGGGTCTGCCCTGAAGGGAGACAAAGAGAAGGTGTGAGGAAGCATTGCTGCTGGGAATGTCAGCCCTGTAAGTTGTCCACAAGCCTGAACTCTGGCCCTGAAGTGCGGGGGTTGAACCCCCAGGGCCGAGTGACACCACAGCGGGCAGCCATAGTTGGGGGCATTAAAAAAAGTGGTTACCTTCTCTCCTTTGGTTCCTGGCAGCCCAATAAGGCCCAGTGGACCAGCGGGCCCCTGGATGAGAAAGGAATGAATTAGGAGGTGTGATGGTCATAGGAATCAGCACCTCTAAGGACAAACAGGCTCATGACACTCACAGGCAGGCCGCTGGGGCCTCTCTCCCCCGACTCGCCCTTCTCTCCCTTTGCTCCATCCAAGCCCTGGAAGGGAAGGGGGACACAGTCAGGGGAAAGGGGTCAGACAGATGGAAGGCCAGGAAATTTTTGGGCCCGTGGGGGCCCAGGTGTGCAGACCAGAGGGACAGATTCCAGGCTCTGTCAGGACTGGCCTGGGTTCCTTTCTGTGCAAATAATCAGAATGAGCTGCGGGCGTGAGCATGTTACCTTTTCCTGCACTTGGGCTTCCTGAGTACTCATGCTAGAGGTTGTGGTCACACCCATTTACAGATGAGGAAAGAGAGGCACAGAGGGGGCAGGGATGGACCCGCATAGCAAGCAAGCAAATGGCAGGACTGACTGCCAACTGAGTTCCTGAGCTCCATCCCTGACAGCATCTGCCTCTTCTACACATAATCTGGGGAGGCCTTGGGACAAAGAAGAGCCAGAAGCAGCACATCTGGCCGGCCACATGCTCGGCCCACTCAGCTCTGGGAGTCCATGACTCTGAGTCCTCAAGTTGGCCTCTGAGCTGGGGAAGCAGAGAGGGGCTCCCTCAGGGGAGGGCAAATGGTGAGGCCAGCTGCCCTCCCCTGTGTGTGGCTCCCAGAGGAGGCACACTGGCAGGCCACACTATGGTTTTAATTTAAGGGCAGAGGACTCAGCATTATGTAATACACAACAAACCCAAGACTTCATGTCAAGGCTGTGGGCAGTTGGGAGACAGATGTGCATGTGGGGGGCAGAAGGGGAAGTGGCAACGAGGGGGAAGGTACAGAGAAAGGGGAGAAACAGTGAGGGGGAAAGCAGTGGACTGGGGCCCAGGCAGGAGGAAAAGGGGTAAGAGCAGAGCCCCAAGTGTGGGCGTGAGGGGGCACCAGCCTTAGGGGACTCAGAATATTCAGGGAAGATGCAGGGCTGGTCTGACGCCAAGCGTGGGGCCCTCACTCAGCCCATTAGCAAGGCTTTCTGAAACTGTCCAGGCTGTGATCTGCAGCAGGTAGTGGGGTTTCACCCACGCCCCAGACTCACCTTGAGACCCTGGATTCCCTGAAGGCCCTGGAGGAGGAGGAGAGAGCAGATCAGGGCCAAGGCCCTCTTGGTCATGAAGGCTTGCAGGCCACCCACTGGCCTTGACCTGGGGGAGGAGGGCCTCCCCAGCCCAGATGCTGGCTCCGCCCTCCCTCCCCCGCAAGGAATTCTGCCCTCCCCAGTCACAGCTCCTAGGCCTGGGCCCACCACCCTTTTTGTATCCCAGCTGCTTCAAGCCAAACGTTCTTACCATGGGGCCCGGGGGACCAGGAGGGCCGGGGGGCCCTGGCTCCACTATGATCTGGGCCTAGGAAAGGGTCAGAAGTGAATTAGCTACAAATCACCTCATCATCCCTCACCCACCCACACGTGAGCTCATGGGACCTGTTGGAGGAACACTCCCTGGACACCAGGCCCCGGGCCATTGCTTCTTGCTCCCCGCACCTTGTGGGGGGCCTAGCGCTGGCATTTGGGTTCTCAGATGGGCCTTAGGTGGAGGACACCTGAGGTCCCCCCTCCCCTGCTACCCTAGGCTTGGTCAGGCCAGGGAGCCCTGCTGTTCCAAGACTTGGGCCTCCAGCTGGCTTGAGCTGGGCCTTGGGGGGAGACCCTGGAATTCAGCAATCCCCCTTACCAGGCTCTCTGATAGGCTGTCTGGTGCCGGCTCTCCCTTCTCGCCCTTGGGGCCGTGGGCACCCTGCAGGACAGGATGACCTTGAGCCGTGTATGTCCATCACCAGATCACCACCCACGGTGAGCAGTACCTCCCCTGTCCTCCCCGCAAGGCTTCCGTCAGCAGAGACGTGCCAGGTTGGCCAGTGCAGCGTAGAATAGTTTCCCCAGAACCACGGGCACTCAGAAAGCAGCGTGCCGCGGCGCACGCGGCAGTTTTCCTGGGGCACAGGCAGCGCCTGGGTTCAGCCCCAGCACTACCCCTCGCTGGGCGAGCCTCATGGATGGACGATGGACATGAAGTGAGGTGCTTCATGTGCCAGCTTTTCCAGTCCATCCGCGCCAAGACCAACCATCAACGTGACAATGCTGGTGACAGCAGGCACTGATTGCATGCCAGCCACCATTCTCAGAGCTGTCTGTTCCCTCGAGTAGTGGGAAATTATCACCCCCATGGTAGAGGTGGGGAAACCGAGGCCCCGGGGGTTAGGTTGCTTGTACAGGGTTCCAGTCAGTAAGAAATGAAACAGGTGCCAAGACCGGTTTGGCTCAATGGACAGAGCGTCGGTCTGTGGACTGAGGGGTCCCGGGTTCAATCCCAGTCAGGGGCACGTGCATTGGTTGCGAGCACATTGCTGGTGGGGGGTGTGCAGGAGGCAGCTGGTCGATGTTTCTAACTCTCTATCCCTCTTTCTTCCTCTCTGTAAAAAAAAAAAAAAAAAAAAAAAAAAAATCAATAAATTATTAAAAAAGAAAAAAGAAAAGAAAAGAAAGAAATGAAACAGGATGCCAACTCAGGCAGCCAGAGCCGCGGCCTAACCACCGCCGACTCACTTCCTCCGGCAGGGCCTCCTCATCTCACCGCCTCAGCGGCCTCGGGAGAAGCAGCAGGCCCTTCGGCAGGGGCCCGGGGAGTCTGAGCACGTGGGCTGGGCGTCAGCTTCCTCAGCCCCGGGGCCCGGCCGGGCTGAGGCTGCGGCCCGCCGCCAGCAGGCACACTCTCACTTTGGGACCTCATGTGGGGCCAGTGGGAGGTGGGCCCACCCAGCCACTTACCGGGAGGCCAGACAGGCCCATTTCGCCTGCTTCCCCTTTGGGTCCAGTTGGCCCAGCCTCTCCTGGGTCTCCTTTTGGTCCTTTGGGACCCTGAAAGCCACATGGACAAGGGGTCAGCGCAGCTCAGCAGGCATTCTCCTTCCCCGACTCTGACAGGTCCCCAGAGCTTTGCTCAGGCCAGGCCAGACCCCTACTTCCTCATTGTGACAAATGCACCGAGGGGCCTGGACAGAGATAGGAAGAGGGCACCCGGACACCTGCCTCACTGCTCACAGGGGTACAGGAGGGGTGGGGGTGAAGGGAGTGGAGCACGTGGGCCTGGGCAGCCATGAGGGGGCACTATGGGGTTCCAGGTCAGCCCTGTGCTTACCTCTCAGGAGCCAGAGATGGGAGCCCCAGCCCCTACAGCCAACCCACCATCTATAGAATCACCTTTCAACCTCTGCAATCACACACACACGTACACACGTGCCTCCCCTGCCCCCAGGCATGACACCTGGCACCAGTATCACCAAGAAAATGAAAGGCTCAGAGACCTTCTCTCCATCGATTCCGGGGGCACCAGGCAATCCGAGCTCACCCTGGAAGGGAACAGACAGCAAGAGGGTTACAGTGTCCCATGGCCCCCAAGAGGGATCTGTGGCTAGGCGGCCGCCCCCAACCAGTCTGGTCAAGTCCCTGCAGTTAGAACTCCAGGAAGGCACGGTGCCAGGAGCCGGCCGCCTCCACGCCTCCATGCCCTCAGCCCCTACAGGCAGACGGAGCCCAGGCTGTAGGTTACATTTTGGAAGCGGAGGCCCCAAGGGTTACATGACTTGCTCCAGGCCCCACAGCCCAGGGACCAGGGCGGAACCGGGCCTGTCTGATTTCACGGTCTGGGCTCTTTCTCCTGGGCCAGGTGGGCAGGGTGTAACGATGCACACAGGCCACAGGAAGGACCACGTTATCTACGGGACTGCGTGACGTCACGAGGGGCCAATGTACGGGCTTCCTCATGTGAATCAAACTCCCCAGAGTGCGGGGTAACTAGGGCCTGGGAGAAGGCGCCCTGCTTGGCTAGGAAGCAGCCCCTTTCTCCGAGCCTCTAGAGGCCAGGCTGGATCATGGGGCCACAAGCAGAGGGGCAGGTGGGCTCTGGAGACTACGGGCGTGAGGGGCCACCCAGCTGCATGTGCACTGACCTTGGCTCCGGGGATTCCGGGAGGCCCCGGCGGGCCGGGAGGACCCTGTGTGCAAAAGACAGGCTGGTCAGTGTGAAGCGGGGCCTCCCCCTCACTGCTGGTGCCCCCCTCCCCCCGGGGGGCCTGTCTCTGTTCAGCTGGGTTATGGCAGGGTCAGGACCTTCCGCAGCTGATTCCCACCCAGCCAGGCCAGGCCCCAGGTCTTGGAGTCCTGGGAGGAGGCACCAAGCGTCAGGATATCACAGTGCCACTGCCATGGAGAGTCCAGAGTCCCTCTGCCCTCAGAGCTTGTTTCCCCAAAATTAATTTCTTCTCAACACTGCCCTGCTCCAGATCCTGCAGTGGCTCCCCATTGCCTCTGAAGCTGTCACTCAATGCCAGCCCCAAACTGTATCCCCAACAGTGGCCAGCACTGCCTTCTCTACTTCTCCTGTGACTCTCTGACCATCCGCTCTGTCGCCTGTTGTCTCCTGCCACGGGGAGTTCCTGGGTCACACAGGTAAGAGATGGCACCTTCAGTCTCTAGGTCTGACCTGAGTCCCAAGCTGCTATCTTGACCGAGGCCTCCAGAAGGCTGCCTGCTCACTGAGTCTCATCATCGCCCTCCAAACTCAGGTCCCCTCCGAAAGGCTGCACCCCATCCAGCCCCTCAGCTCCCCGAGTTCCAGTCCTCCACCTCCTCTCACCAATCTCCTCCCTTCCGGTTAGAGGCTCCATGGAGATGTCCTGTCTTACACCTTCCTTCCGTCCACCCACCACCTTCCTCTAGGCCCAGCTCAGCACCTACCTTCCCGGTGGCCTGCCTGCCTCCAGCTGTCCCCACACCCACTTTGTTCACCTGCCACGCCATCCCCCAAGACGTGGTTGTTAGCATTGCCTCTCTGCTCAGAGCATCAGCTATGGCTTCCTGCTGCCCATCCAATGGAGCATCCTCCCAGCCTGGCACCCTGCCTCCCTGTGCTCACAGGACTTCTCCCATGCAGCTCCTAGCCAGCCTGGGACACACCATGCATGTACACGCCCTTGGGACACACCACACCACACCACACCACACACCACACCATGCGGGCCTGGGGAGCCACAGTTACCATCAGCTGGTACTTCTCTGAGGCCTGTGGGAAATAACTGGAATTGAACCATCAGTCTGGTCTCTGATGGCCGTCTTTCCCTCACCCCCCTAGCTCCTTCCCCTGGCACTCAACCTCTCTTCCACTGGTTATGGCCCCCAGGTTTGCTGGGCAGGGCTCACAGGCTCCATCTCCCAAGCGAGGCTCTGGGGCAGGCCTGGCCACTCTCATCCCCTGCCAATGGTCATTAGGAGACCGGGCCCTCTAGCCTGAGCTCCCAGGGAAGGTCCCAGGAGGCCTTGCTGGGGTAGGACACAGGAAATGCTCTGCCCCTGCCTCTGCCCCTTGTTGTTTTGACCCCAAGGAAGCTCGGGGCCCCATGAGCCACATCACAGCAGCCCTCTCACAGCACCTGGTGAAGTTGGGGCCCCTGCGTACAGAGTGTGGATGAATGCGGAGAGGGAGTGGCTATTCCCTTAGGGAATGGACAGCAAGGCGCATGCGGCCCACCAGGAACGCTACCTTCAGGGCATCCAGGATCCTGCCGTCGTAGTCAATCACCACTGTGTCTCCTTGCTCACCCTTGAGGCCGGGGGGACCCTGAGGCGGGAAGAGGAGGGAGGTTTCAGGGAGGAGCTCCGTTGGCGGGGGCAGTGGCAGTCGCCTGTGCATGTCACCCCAGGAACCCAGGACCTGGGGCCACATGCAGTGCTGGCCCCAGCTCGGCTGCAACCTGGGGGCCCAGCAGGGCTGGTCCCCAGGTCGGGTCCCCTGGCATTCTCTGCGCTGGCACCCAGGCTCACTGACAACACAGGGTAGGAGCCGGGCAGGCACCTGGAGGGAAAGGGGGCCTGGGGCCAACTGCAGAGCAAGCCCGGCCGGATTGGGGGTGGCCGCACTCGGCTTTCACGGGGGAACGAACGGAGGCCCAGCCCTGAATTCTCGAGGGAAAGCGGAAAGCCTAATGTGAGGTGATGCTGTGCAGGTTTTTAAATGTTGTCAAACAAATAGACACAAACAAAGACACCCAAACCCTCCAAGATGCCGTGCAGGCCTGTGCCTTGTTTCCCAGCCTCTGGCGGAGGCTGTCCACACCCGGGCACCCACAAGCCCATTCGTTCCCAGTAGGAGCACAGGCCCACCCAAGCCTGTGGCCACGGGCCTGCGTCTCCACTTGCAGGTGTCCACGTGGTGAGCGCGTGGCTGCTGGCCCTGTCCCCCCCTCTGCACCTCCCCTCTCCTCCCGGGCACCGCTCTGCTTGGAGGAGAGCGAGCGGCCACGAACACGCTGGCTCAGGCCGGTGCCAGCCCCGTGCCCTGGGCGGAGAGACCCAGGTGGGGGCCCCCTGCTGGCTGCCTGGTCATGATCAAGACCCGCGTGGAACTGTAGTTCACACTGACTTTCCACACAGTGAGCTTACTCCCGTCCCCGGCCACCTGCAGGCTCCGGCTGCGAGTGGAGACCTGGTTTCTGGAGGGGGACACCTGCCTCCAGGCGCTCCGGGGATGTGCCTGCTCCGGCCACAGAGCAGGAGCAGGGTGCCAGCCTAAGGTGTGCCCACAGGCTTTGGCCCCAGGAGGCCAGCGGGAGTCGCTGTGCTTCCTGGTGACAGGAATGAGCTGAAAGGCCAGGACCCCCACAGGGGCAGGGCCAACGCCGTGTGTGACAGGTGCGGGTCTGTGTTTGCATACGGCAAGAAAAAGGCTCTCGAAGGGCGAGCGCGCACCTGGGAGGGAGGAACAAGAGGGGATGTGTCCTGTCACATCCACATTTGAACATTTTACCGAAAGCGTGTACTATGAGATTAAAAATGGAAAAAAAAAATCACAAATGAATTAATATAAAAAAAGACTCCGTTTCTGGAGCCTCGCTGCTCCTCTGGGGCCTTGGGTGACAGGGACCTTTAAAGTGACAGGCCCCGCCCCAGCGGGTTTGGCTCAGTGGATAGAGCGTCAGCCTGAAGACTGAAGGGTCCCGGGTGCAATTCCAATCAAGGGCACATGCCCGGGTTGTGGGCTCCATCCCAGTAGGAGGCAGCCAATCAGTGATCCTCTCTCACTGATGTTTCTGTCTCTCTCTCCCTCTCCTTTCCTCTCTGGAATAAAATATATATGAAAGTGCCAGGCCCCTGGGCCCTCTGTGGGTGGCTGGAGGAGAGGAGTGCTTACCCGCAGCCCGGAGGCTCCGTCGGCTCCTCGCAGGCCGGGCTCGCCCTGTGGAGACGATGCGGTTGCAGCCAGGTGCACACAGCCAGGCCAAAGGCTCCCCACCGCCTCCCGTCCCCTCTCCCCACGGGCGCAGGCCCTCACGTGTGTGACTGCGGAACCCTTTGACCCCAGAGATAGGCCACCGCGGCCCAGGAGCCCAAGGCTACATTACATGGTGCCTTAGCCTCATAGCTCCCCCAGGCCTATTGCCGCTCGCCGCCCCCTCCCCCCCCCCGCCCTCCCCCCAGCTCAGATCAGTCTCTGGTTGCCAGTCCAATGAGACTCGAGATCCAAGACCTGAGGATGCAGCTCCCCCCTCCCCCCCCCCCCCCCACACACACACAGGGATTCCCAACGTAAAAAGGCCAGTTGGAGGTGAACCACATCTCCTCTGAAGGGGCCGCAGAAGCCGACGCCGCGGGCTGCTAAGTCACCTTTGTCCCCGGGACTCCGTCCACGCCCTTCTCTCCCCGTGGCCCCACGCTCCCCGGCTCGCCCTGCAACAGAGACATGGACAGTGGAAGGAAGCAGGGCTGCCGGAGACATTATGGAGGCAGGCTGGCCAGGATTGGGTGGCTGTCAAGAGAGGTTGGGGAGCCAGGATGACATCAGTTCCCGGCCTGGGGACAGGGCAGGGAGTGGGGCACCGGAGATGGGAACCAGAGGACTTCAGGGTGTGAGGGGAGAGAGCCTGTGAGGTGCCAGCCCCGTTGACGTGTGGGCCCAGGGCCTTCCTGCTGCCCCTCTGTGGCCCGTCCTGGGCATCAGCCTGTGCCCACCAGGACCGGGAGGGGCTTTGCCAAGGAGACGAAACCATGCAAGACGGGCGGCAGGAGGAGCTCTGGGGGAGGCACTGGTACCTACCTTGGGCCCCGGAGGTCCAGGGAGCCCTGGTTGGCTCGGCGTCCCGTCATCCCCCTGAGGAGAGAGTGGTGGAGGCTGCAGCCTCAGACCTGGACACACCGGCAACACCCCTCGGTCCTCCCCAGCACAGCTGTCCACTCCCGTCACCAACACTGGTTATACCGGGACGGGCAGCTTCTCCCTCCCCTCCTCGCCCCTCTATGCAGGGGTGGGGTCAGATCGACCCCTGTCCCCGGCTCTCAACAGCCCAGGGCCAGCCCAGAATGGCCTCGGCAGGTGTGTGCAGAAGAAATGGGGGTCAGGTGAAGGGGAGGAATTTGAACGACCTTGTGGGCACTTTCTGCGGGCCAGGAGACAAGGTCCCTGCTCGGGGGGTCAGAGGAGGCCGAGGGCAAGGAAATCTCCAGAGGAATACGTTGCAGCGGGACAGGAAACAGAAGGGCCAGGCGGAGCACTGAGGGGGACGGCAGGGTGGAAAGGGACTCGGGGAGGGTGTGCTTCAGGAGGTGGCAGGGGCAGTTTCTCAGAGGAGAGGCAGCTTTGCTGAGACCTGCAGGAGGGGGAGGCCAGCGTGGAAGAGGTGGGAGAAGGTCTCGCTGGGTCAGAGGCTACAGGCTTGAGCGCACACCAGGATCACCTGCGGCTGCTTGGACAGAGCACGGCCCACCCCCAGCGACTGTTTTGGGGGGTCTGGGGTGGGCCCTGAAATGCTTGTGAAACAAGCCCCCAATGATGCTCTTGGGACTACAGCTTAAGAACACTGTGCTGCACCCTGAGGCGGGGAAAATGTGATGTTTGAGGAAAGGAGCGAATGAGCGAATGAATGAACAAATGAGATTCTGGCTTCAGACACATACCCACAGTGAGGGGTCAGGTCTGCCGAGGAGCAGGGCACCTTCTTTATGGGGGCTCCCATTTCCACCCCGTGCCAGCCCCTGCCCTTCTCTCCAGCCCACTCCCCCCCCAGAAGCCCCTCCTCAGACCCCCTCACCTTCTTTCCAGGAATGCCGGGCTCACCCTGAGGGCAGACAGCGGGGGTGCAAGACAAAGGTCAGAGACATTGGGCTCCTGCTCCTCTGGAGAAGGGGCCCCTGAGCCACGCCCAGCGCAGTCCAGAGGGCCCAGCCCCCCGGAGAGGAGCACATGGGTGCGGGGCTGACAGTCCCGGACTCCACTCCGGACTCAGTCCCTTCCAAGCCGAATGCCCTCAGGCAAGTCCCTGCTCTTGAAAGTGGAAGTATGAGGCCCCCAGCCTCAGATGCCCCCAGCCTCGGAGGGTCACTGCTCGATGACAGAGGATGCACGAAAAGCCCCTGGCTCGCAGCATGTGCTCACTAAATGGAGCCCTTTCCTCCTGCTCAGCTCAGAGATTCCAGCTCCTTCAGGGAGGACCAGAGCCTGCCTTCCCACCCAGCAAGCACTGAGCTGACATCTGAGAGAACTTTGAAAGCTAATGTGCTTCATTAGTTGATCCTTACAACCTGGTGTGAAGGTAAGGCAGAAAAGGCTTATCATGCCCCCATTTAACAGATGAGTAAACTGAGGCCCAGAGAGAGATGCAGTAACTTGCCCAAGGTCACAGAACTCTGTCTCCTAACCCTGCTGCCTGGGCGTGGGGACAGGGACTGAGGAACACTTACCTTGGGCCCTGGAGGTCCCTTTGGGCCCTGGAATGAGAGAAGGTGTTAAAGGGGATGCTGGAGGTTGCTCCTATCTGTCCTCATCACTCTCATTTGACAAAGGATGACACCGTGTCCCAGGGAGGAGCAGGCAGGGCTGTCACTGCTTCCGGTCTTGGGCAGCTTCTCATCAGATCTCAAGCAGCGACCAACAGACTGCAGGCCCCCTCCCAGGGATGCAGGGCTGTGAGGACTCTGCTGGGCTGGAGACCTGGCCATCCCTTCCCACTGCTGGTGCGGGCAAGAGCCCGGGAGTACGCACACGTACAGCCGCACACACAACCTCAGTGTGTGTGTGTGTGTGTGTGTGTGTGTGTAAGAGGAGCCGCTCAGGCCTTGGAAATGCTCTGGGTACTGACCGTCTCACCGTCTTGTCCAGCCTCTCCTTTGGGACCCTGAGGACACACGGAGAGAGATGAGGGGATGCAGGTTAGCCGAGCCCACAGCTCCTGCCGGACCCGGGCCTAGGCTCCAATCGTATTTGCTCACGTCAGCCTCACTAAACCTGACAAGTAGGGGTCATTGTCCTCCCTTCACAGGTGAGGACGTTTAGGCTCAGGGAGTTATGTGCCCAGTGGGACAAGGACTGGATGAGCCAGGTGAGTAGCTGCCCTGAGAGGGCATCCTGGTGGCAGGTGGGTGGAGGTGCTGGCTTCACGTTGGAGAAGTTTCAGTCCCTGGGTTAGGGACAGGGTAGCAGGTAGGTGAGGTCTGCCCTCCGGGGTTTGGTGAAGACCATGGGAAGATGACCGAGGCTAACTAGTTAGTACTGGGGGTGGGGGTGCGGGGAGAAAGAGAGAGGAAGAAATAGAGGTTGGAAAAGATCTGCAGAGAAAGATCTACATACAGGGGTCAGGGTCAGATTAAACTGAGATTGCAACCAAGATCCGAGTTAGGGTCTATGGGACTATTCGGGGTTAGAGTGTAGGGGTAAGAGTTGGATCTGGAATCAGGGTCGGAGTCTGTAAAGGTGAGAGTTAGGGTCTGATGATAGTCTGATTGGGATATGGATTAGAATTTGGGAATGAGTTTGGGGTCAAGATCTTAACTTAGCTGGGAACCCAGCTAGTTTTGGTGTAAGGGTCTGGGTTGGTGGTAGAGTTAGGGGTGGGTTTCGGTCTGAACTGGGGATAGGGCTGGGGTTGGGCTGGGTCTGGGATCAGGGATTGGGGCTTTGGTGCAGGACCAGGGCCTGGTGGTCCAGCTCCATGTCCTCTTACCGCTGGGCCTGGTGCTCCTCGGGGTCCATCTTTCCCAGTGTCGCCAGGAGGGCCCCGAGCCCCGGGAGGCCCCGGGGGCCCAGGAGGCCCAGCAGCCCCATCTTGCCCTTGGTCGCCCTGAAAGAGATGCGGCTGGCATGACTCTGAGGGGAGGGAAGGGGTCCTAGTCTGTAGAGAGAGGCCCCTTAGGTGGACAGCCCAATGCCTTCCCTTTCCCAGCCCTTAACAGGCTCGGAGAAAAGGGCTTTGTTGTTAGGCCCGTTGCCACGTTTTGGTGGCCACACGAAGGGACAGGTCCCTAAAGCTCAGCTTAAGGGGCCAACAGGGCTTTTTAAAAAAAATATATTTTATTGTTTTTTTTTGCGGAGAGGAAAGGAGAGAGATAAGAGAGTTAGAAACATCGATGAGAGAGGAACATCGACCAGCTGCCTCCTGCACCCCCCCCACCGGGGATGTGCCCGCAACCAAGATACATGCCCTTGACTGGAATAGAACCTGGGACCTTTCAGTCCACAGACCGACGCTCTATCCACTGAGCCAAACTGGTTTTGGCCCAACAGGGACTTTTTTTTTTTTTTAATTAAAAAAAATACATTTTATTGATTTTTTACAGAGAGGAAGGGAGAGAGAGATAAAGAGCTAGAAACGTCGATGAGAGAGAAACATCGACCAGCTGCCTCCTGCACACCCCCCACCGGGGATGTGCCCGCAACCAACATACATGCCCTTGACCGGAATCGAATTGGGACCTTTCAGTCCGCAGACGACGCTCTACCACTGAACCAAACCGGCTTTGGCCCAAAAGGGACTTCTATTTACACTCCAAGGAGTGTGCCATCTCCTCACCTGTGGAGTTTAGGTGAGAGATGACACCCAGTGGGTGTGAGAGAAGGCACCTGTGCCCGGCCAGCCCCTTCCTCCAGAAAGGGGATTGCAGGCCTCCTGAGAGACCTCGGCTGGACCACTCCCACTTCATTCGGTGACAGAGGTGTGCTCTTGGGCATTTGTCCCAGAGAAGTGAAGACTCACGTTCACACAAAAATCAGCACATGGATGTTCCTAGGGTCCAAGGGCCCCAAACTGGAGCCCAGAAGTCCTCCAATGGCGGGTGGCTAACCACTGGGGCACCTCTGCCAGGGAACACTCTCAGCAGCAAACAAGCAGGAACAGAGCACCAACACGCAGCCACTGGGATGCATCTCACGGGAATTACGCCGAGGGAAAAAGCAAATCTCAAAACGTCACATACGTTGTGATTGCAGCTACATTGCATTCTCGAAATAGCAAAAGAATAGAGAGGGAGCATAGATTAGTGGTTGCTAGGCATTAGGGATGGGGGTAGAGAGCTATAAGACAGTAGCCTGAGGGGTCTTTGTGTGGAGGTTGCACGAATCTACAACAGCGATTAAAATGCATAAGAGTAAGCACACAAGTGAGTGGGAGAAGTCTGAGTAAGGTTGGTGGATTGTATCAACTTCCTGGGTAGGAGATTAGACTAGGTGCTGCCCAAGTCACCTTTGGGGGAAACTGGATGATGGGAACATGGTGTTACATATTACAACTGCACGTGAATTTACAATTATCTTAAAAAAAAAAAAAAAAAAGGCGACAGAGGGCCACACAGTCTCTCTCATGCAGCACCAAACCCCCAACTCTCAGGCCGAGCGAGGTTAGTACTGGGTCAGACCTCAGGCAGCCAGAGCCCTCACCGGCGGCCCCCCTGCAAGGAGGGAAGACCACAGGCCACCGGCACTGCCCGCTGCCCGGCGCTGGCACAGGAGTGGGATACACCCGCCTCACAGTGCCGGCAGTGCCTAACCTTTCCGTAGCCAGGCCTCTGTGGAGTGGACCCTGCTGTATGAGGGCATCCTGGGGCTCTCTCATCCAGTCATCTGTCCAGGCACCGCTCCTGTCCTGTTTTACCATCTGGGGGCCAGCGCCAGAGGGTGACCATTTAACCAGGGTGACGGGGCCAGGAAAGGCCATCGAGGCAGAGGTCTCTCTGTTCACCACGAGCTCCGTGATAGGAACGAGCTCACCTCTCCAGCAGCTGCACCTAAGACCTCACTCACTGGCTTTCCCAGTGAAAAGCTTGCAGGCGTCTTCAAACTATGGCCCGCGGGCCACATGTGGCCCGCAGAGGAGTCTGATCCGGCCCGCCAGGTTTTTTGGGCAGTGAGCGCAGCCGAGGTGTTACAGTAGGAATTAGTAGTTCATATAGTCCGGCCCTCCAGCTCTCTGAGGGACCGTGATCTGGCCCCCACTTTAAAAAGTTTGAGGACCCCTGGGCCTTAGCGGAAGCTCTCAAGGTCCAACGTGGAGATCCACCAGGTCCCGACCAACAGGATCGGACTCCAGCTCCAGGGTGCGTGCTGGGCACACGGGCCTGGACACACTTACTGAGGCGGAGAGTGGGCTCAGACACTGAGCAGGCCGGAGAGGCTCTGAGGTTCTTCCCCTGCGTTGCTTGGGACATGAGGCTGCCCGCTGCCTCCCCCCCCCCTCCTCCCGCCGGGATCGGACGGCTGAGGTCTCACCCTGGGGGTGTGGTGAGTCGTCGAGGGGAACACGCAAGCCAGCAGCCCAGACAGGCCCCTCGTCCAGTCTACCTTGAGGATGCGGCGACTGTACATGTGATGGTCTCTACTTATAAAGCCCGGGTGGAGCCGTGGGAAAACCATCTACAGCAAACAGGTCGTGTGGTCAGAAAGGCAGGAGGGTGATTTGGAAAACCACAGAGCTATTTCTGGAGGCAAAGCCACCTCTGCAGCCACAGAAGGCGCCTGTGATTGGGGGTGGGGGTGGAGGGACGGTAAAGGGGTGGAGCCCACCCTCACAGGGGCTGCTACGCTCCCTCCGTCCCACAGCGTCCTCTCCAGTGTGACCGTGCTACTTCCCAAGAGCTGGGGCCTGTTTCTCCCCGTCCCCCACGGACGCCGAGCGAGCCCTGTGACAGGTGGGACCATTAGGATGCAGGGGCGGTGATGCTGTGTACGGCTCTTCACGGGCCTGGCAGTCCTGGCTTCCTGCTTCTCAAAATGTTCTCGAGAGGCCGCTGGAGGAAGCCCAGCTCCCAGCCAACAGCTGCCTCCCCTCCAGGCCCCCCGGCCCCTCTTGCAACGGGAGAGACCCAGCAGCCAGGGGGCATGAGAGATGGTGACCTGTGGTTTGAGTGAGTCTCAGGGTGGAGGTGTTTCACAGGGGCTTTTACCCACGAAGCGGGGTGGAGCTTGGGGAGGTCTGCTCGGCAGCTACGCCAGGGCTGGGGGACTTCTGTCTGCTGAGGGGTGGGAAAATCAGCTTCTACATCCCACAAAAAGTGAGCAGAAGGCGTTTTTCAGCAGCCAGCCAGCTCAGAGGCGTCCTTTATTTGGCTGCAGGGACGTCTCACCAGCTTTCTGTGGCCCTGCCTCTGGCCTCCTATCAAAGTCTCAGCCCAGAACAGCTGGATCTCTAGGGAAACAGCCTGGCCGGCCCTGGTCCCTGCTCTGGACTCACAACCACCCTCAGAGCCATGAGGATGCAGAGCTGGGACAGGGACCCAGCCCAGCCCGCCTGGGCCTGCAAAACCCAGCCCGCTCTCTGCAGGCAGCCCCCTCTCCTTTCACCCCCCACGCACAGCGCCTGCCTCCGAGCCAGGCCCACCTCCCGCCCAGGCAGCTGCTTGCTGTGGGTGCCGGGCCATCGGCTACAATCTCCACCCCGCAACCTTCTTAAACACAACTGTGAACACGCCACGTTCCTGCCTTTCTCCGGGCGGCTGATGCCCGCCTCTCGCCTCTGCGGTGAGGCTGCGGCCGCTGTCTGCCCGGGCTGTGGCAAAGGCGGAGAGGGCCACTAAGTGACCCTCCGCCAAGACCTCCTTTTGCAGGCCCAGCCCGCCTGGTCTCCCCTTTGCTTCAGCCTCTGCTGAGGAAACCCCGGCTCCTGCCTGAGGCACTTCTGAGTCCTGGGGCCCGGGGCCACGGAGGGCCAAGGTGGTCTGGCTGAGGCTCCCGTCTACTGTTCCATGTGGGGTGCTGGGCACCTACTTTTATGATTGCATTGAATCTTCACCACAGTGAAGATTGGGGGTAGAGGCTGTCACCCCCACTCACAGTTAGAGAAACGGAGCCTCGGAGGGCAAAGTGATGTGCTCAGGGTCACTTGGCGGTAAGTGGCAGAGCTGAGCGTGGGTTCAGGGCTGCTGACCCTGCAGTCTTCCTCTTCCAGGGTGCTGGCTGTCCTCAGGAAGGTCTGTCCCTGGTCTGAGACCAGTGCTGGCCCCCTGCCTGCCCACCCTCAGTGATACGTGGTATGAGACTTCCCATCTGTGCCAGACCAGCGGCCAGTTCAGTGAAATCCTAAAGCAGAATATACTGTGGGCAGGAGAGGGGCTGCTCACTCACCTTCTGTGATAAGCTGTAGGGCGTGCTCTATCTATCTATCTATCTATCTATCTATCTATCTATCTATCTATCTATCTATCTATAATACCTACCTACCTATCTATCTAAAATCCTAAGTGACTGAACAGCCAAACGACTGGTTGGTTGGTCGCCATGATGTGCACTGACCACCAGGGGGCAGGTGCTCAACACAAGAGCTGCCCCCTGGTGGTCACTGCACTCCCTCAGCTGGCCAACCTCCCTTGGCCCCTCCCCCTCCCCGACCCCGATCAGCTCCGATCAGTCTGGGCCAGGCTGAGGGACCCTGCCTGTGCATGAATTTGTGCACTGAGCCTCTATTTATAATATAAAACCAACTGTGTATGTGGGGGAGGGGGTCTTACCCGGGGTCCAAAGTCTCCTGGTGCACCCTGGGAACAAAAAACAGGGAGATGTGTCACCACCTTGATGACTTTACATACGCCCAGCTCTGTGCTCAGAATGACATGTATTGTACATGGTCTCATCCCTCTACCAAAAATCACATGCAGGCTCTCTCCCCCCCCCCCCCCCCCCCCATTTCCAACGAGGAAATGAAGGCACAGAGGGGCTAAGGAGTCTGCCCAAGGTCACACCACGAGCAGATTCCAGGGTGGTCTGCTACCTATCACCAGCCCTAGACATGGCGGAACAGGGACAGGCCACTCCCACTGTGCCCTCTTGGAATCCCTGAGCCACGGAACAGTCAGCTCTGATGGCGGAAACTAAGTGACCCCCCGTGGAGTTGGGGTGTGGGTGTGGTCCAGCCAAGCTCTTCCCTGGAGGTGCCCAGTCGGCCCCGGGACACACACATTTCCTCTCGGCGCTCTTTCGGGCTGTGGCTGGGACAGGTAGCACCCAATGCCAGGAAGTCCTTCTGGTACGGGGCTGTGAGGACCCCGGGACAGATCTGCCATCTGTTTTCCTGGCGGGGGTGTCCCCCCCCCACAAAGAGTGCCATCCACAGTCACTGTCCAACCCCCTAGGCTTTCCTGGCACCGCCCCTTCAGGATTAAGGACTGGGCCGACTGCTTTGAGCTTTGTTATTCTGTGGTGTCTGGAGAACTCAGATTTAACCTTCCGGGCACTTTAAATGGTCAAATGTGAGCCTTATAGCCATTCCGGAAGTAGGCACTACCTGCCCACTTTATAGATGGGGAAACTGAGGCCCCAGGAGGGGCTGTGACGGGGCCACGGTCACACTCTGGAACTGGGGTTTGGAGACAGGTGTCTGGCATCCTCCCTCAGCCTCTGTGTCTCCACAGCCTCCAGCATCACTTACCTTTTCTCCCTTGGGGCCTGGAAGTCCCTGGAGAAGGAAGTGGAGAAAGAACAGCAGTGAGTGAGGAAAGCGAGGCTGGCCCCGCCGGCTTCCCTAAGGCTTTGCGTACAGAAGGGCCCGTGAGGCTGAGCAGAGCTGGGGGCGGCCGAGTGGAAAAACACACAAGACTGTCAGTCCTTAAGGAGGCTGCCTGTGCTGACCCCCAGGAACCAGCACATCTCAGCCCTCAGCATGAGGGACACGGGGACTGGAGGCCACTGCATCCTCTCTGGACAGAGGCACAAACACTAGTCATTCCCCCCAGAGAGCGGAGCCCTCTCTGCTCAGCCCCCGTCGTGCTGGGTGCCCGTCAGGAGCCGCTGATCGTGGAGCCTGGGGTAGGTGCGTGTGAGGGGCTCCAGGCAGGCCACGGCGGCTGCCTTCACCCTCTGGCTCCAGGGGAAGGTCTTTCTTTCGGTCCTGCCAAGTCACCAGGCCTTCTAGGAAGGCCGAGCCACAAGGCACCCTGTGGGGCTCAGTGTCCCTGGGGTGAGGGCTGGCACCGTTGGTTAGGGACTGACTAGCTCACTGGCCTTCATCCCTCCCCAAACTGCCCACTATCCCTTCAGCCGGGAGTGGATTTGCTGTTCATTCATTCAAGAATTCGTCCACCCAGGTTCTTTCCTCCATCCTTCAATAATGCACACAGGATGAATCAGCTATTCAATTATTTGTCCGTTCATTCGTTTCTTCACTTGTCTGTTCAACCATCATGCATTTACCCACCCACCCTATCCTTCCATGCACCCAACTATTTGTGCAATCATCGATTCATTACCTACTTTGGCTGTTCTTCTGTCTATCACCCATCCACTTATTTATTTAACTATGTTGTCACCTGTACATCTCATTAGTCCTGCTGAGGACGCCTGTGGACCGCAGGCGCCTGACCCAGGTGTTGCGAACTCCTCAGTCTCAGGCCCGCCACGAAAGGACTGAGCCTGCCTGGGGATCTCTGTGCCTGGGGCCTGCTGGGAGGGGCTTGTAAGCTTTGATGGCTGACCAGAGGCAGGGACAGTGCTGTCTGCAGTCCTTCACATCGCCATCACAGCGGCGAGGGTTAGCGAGCCTCTCTGAGAGGTGAGAAGCCTCAGGCTGGGGAGGTGAAGAGGCCTCCCCAAGGTTGCACAGTCAGCAGATGGGGGAGCTGAACTTGAACTTAAGTTTGATGCCCAAATAGCTTCTCTGTGCGCTGAGCCAGGTTCTCAGTGGTTCTTTCTCTCTGGCACTCCATGGTCACTCCCAACCCCACTGTGCCCATCACCCCAGGCCACCCATCCCAGGAACACCCATCCCAGGACCACCTCCAACAGCCCTGTCATCACTTACTGGCTTTCCATCCAGACCCAGAGGCCCCTGGAAAGGAGAAAGAGAGCAGAGGTTACGTAAGGGAAAGGCATTTCCTCTGGGGGTTAAGACTAGAAGACACTATTGGGTGACAGCAGTCCAAAGCCTGTGCCACGCCCGTGGTCTGGGGACGTTTCACACAGATCTGGGGTGGGAGCCTCTGGGTGTTGCTGGCTGCCCAGAACCCCCTCTGTTTGCTGCTCCCTTCCTTGGGTCTGGGCACAGAGCCCCATTTCTCCGCCCAAACCACCCCCATCGCCACCCATGGGCGTGGGCTGCTGACGGCATTCCCTCAGCTCGGGTGATTGGTCCAGGGGGTTTGGAAGGTGGCCCTTTTGGGCAGGAGGGCTCTTTCCACCCGATGGAGCTAAGCCTTCTCGCCTGTGGCACTCCTGGGGCACCAATGGCTTGGGAAAGAGGGCACAGAGAGAAAAGCAGAGCGGAGAGGTGGAGAGACAGGGCAAAGGCTGGAGCTGAAGCCGCCAGGCACTCTCCTCTTTGAGAATACATTGTCCCTGAAGCCAGCCTGAACTGAGTTTCTGCCACTTGTCATTTGTTTTGTTCCGAACGTACATGCTCCCTAAGCCCCAATATGACGTTAGGAAGTAGGGCTTCTGCAGGCGAGCAGGTCATCAGAGTGGAGCCCTCACGAATGGGATTGGTGCCCTTATAAAAGGGCCCACAGCCAAAACCAGTTTGGTTCAGTGGATAGAGCATCAGCCTGCAGACTGAAAGGTCCCAGGTTCAATTCCAGTCAAGGGCATGCACCTTGGTTGCGGGCACGTTCCCAGAGGAGGGTGTGCAAGAGGCAGCTGACCGATGATTCTCTCTCATCGATGTTTCTAACTCTCTATCCCTCTCTCTTCCTCTCTGTAAAAAAAAAAAAAAAAAAAAAAAAAAAAATCAATAAAATATATTAAAATTTCTTTTAAAAATTAAAAATAAATAAATAAAAGGGGCCCACAGAGTTCTGTTCTGCCCCGTGAAGACGCAGCGAGGAGCCCGCCGTCTGCAACCCAGAAGCGGGCCCTCCCCAGAATGTGGTCTTGCTGGCCCTGATCTCGAACGTCCAGCCTCCAGAACCGGGAGAAAGAAATTTCTGCTGTTTATAAGCCACCCGTTCTGGGGCGCTTTGTTACAGCAGCCCAAGCGAACTCAGACGTAACTGGAAGAGTCCTGACGGTTCTTTCAGCTCGGCACTGCTGGGGCCTTCCCAGGTGAAAGCGGGGAAGCCACAGACACAAGGGCGAGTGCTGAGAGCTGGGGCGTCCCCCGGGCCCCACAAGATCTGTGGTGTCTGCACGGGGCCAGCGACTATGGCAAAGCAGCCCCACCGAGCCCCCGCCACACACCCAGCAAAGCCTCACTGAGCGCCACCCGCCCTGTGGGTGAGGAGGACCACCAGGGGGGAGGGGAGTGTTGTAGGCCTGGCCCATCTGCTCCCTGCAGACCCCTGTCCTCCTCTCACCAACCAACATCCCCTCCTCCCCATGCACACTGCACCCTCGACTCCAGCAAAGGATGGAGGCAGCTCCACCCCCCGCGCCTGCTGCACACACTGCCTGCCTCTGTGCCTCCTCTTCCACACAGAGGCGTTTCCATGTTCCAGACTCAGGCCATCTGCCCCTGTGCCCAGCACATGTTCTAACTGTCCCACGTGAGACACATGGTTAACTGTGGTCTGCACACGCCCTCGGGGAGGTCCAGGGGAAGGGCCTGCTCCCCGCCCCCGAGTGTTTGAGGAGGCCTGGCCAGTGCGCACCAAGTCCCACCAAGGAGAGGTGGCCCGTGTGCAGATGTGCACAGTACCACGTGGAGAGTGGGGGCAGGGCAGGCAAAGGGTCCCCGGGTTCCAAGCAGAGAGAGGTATGTTGGCTTTGAGGAGACTGGAAAGGATTAGAGCAGCGTTTTTCAACCGCTGTTCCGCGGCACACTAGTGTGCCGCGAGATGTTGCCTGGTGTGCCGTAGGTGCAGACAAGACAAGAATTTTATAATTTTTCACTATTTTGTTTACTTAATATTTCATAATAAAGTAATTATAAAATACTTTCTTTGTGTTTATTTGATTCCTATTCAAGAGAATTACTTTATATATAGTCACTATAGGCACAGAGTTAAATTTTTTAACATTTTCTAATGGTGGTGTGCCTCGTGATTTTTTTCATGAAACAAGTGTGCCTTTGCCCAAAAAAGGTTGAAAAACACTGGATTAGAGAGCTCTACCCTAAGAAAGAAACATTTGGGCATTTGAACATAGCGTGTGTGCGTGTGTGTGCGTGTGTGTGCGTGTGTGTGTGTGGGGGGGGCACTGAGGGAGAGAGAGCAATCCGGCACAGGCGGGGAGGAGGGGGCATGCTGGGGTCGGTGAGCAGAGGAGCAGCTCAGCCTCAGCACGGCCTCCGCCCTGGTCTCAAACAGCTGCACAGGGGTCTGCCTGCCACTCCCCGGGGGTCCAGCAGTGCGGCTGCATCCTGGCCCAGCAGGGGTCTCCTGTGGCCGGGGCCAGGCTCTGCCATTCAGTTGCCCTGTGTCCCTGGTCCCCTGAGCTCTCTCTTTCCACTCTGCTCCCTCTGCGTGCAATGCCCTTCCCTGCCCCTGGTGAGAGGGACTCCTCCTCGGAGAGTCTCACTCTCTTGTTCTGAGAAGACTTTCCTGGCCCAGCCTCCATCCTCGGTTCTGGCACAGCCTGGAAATTGGTACCCGGCCTACTGTGTCTAGTGGTAAATGACCAGTTTCCTTGGCTTGACCTCCAGGCCGCCCTGAGCTGCCAATCTCAGATTCCCCAGACCCGAGCGTGGCCACCCCTTGATGCACTCAGACCAGGGCCTCACTCCAGGCGGGAAACCTGGGCAGATCTGAAAACTGGCCTCTTAAGTGCTTCTGGCCACCAGCCTCACTGTGGGGGGAGAGTGTGGATGTGGGGGTGATGGCTATTCCAAAGGCCCTGGGGGCTCCTGTTCTTGGTAAAGCCCAGCCACAGTTCAGGTCCCATCATCTGAGGGCCATCAGCTGGCTGGTCTCCTCTTGGGGGCTCCTGGCAGTTCTGACACCGTTAGTCATCTCCTGAAATAGGACCTGCCCCTGCCCCCATGCTCAGGCCCTTCTAGGCCTTCTCAAGGCCATGGCCCATGGGGGTTTCTACCCTGACCTCTCACTCAGGCCCAGCCTTCTGGCCGCCACAACCTACACGGGGCCCAAGACCCATCCTGTGTGTCTTAGTGACCCACACACTTAGTCTTATCAACACAACAGCCTGGAGGCAGGTGTTACCGCCCGGTCTTGCAGAGCAGGAAACGGGCCCAGCCAGCAGCAGGCTGGGCTGGAGCCGGACAGGGCTTCCGCCCTGTGTTCTGTCTGCACTTAAACCCTGCGGTGAACTCCCTGGCGTCCAGCCACTACGGCCCCTCTAGTCTGCCCTTGCACGCCGCTGTCAGACCTTCCCTGCTCCCTCCCACTGCCTCCTGGGCCTCGCCTGCCCAGGCGTCCCCAGCCACCTTGACAGTGTGGCCGCCACCGGAGACGGTGCCCAGGCCCTGCGCGCGTCCGTAAGTCCTGCTGAACTGAGCCCAAATGCAGCCCCCAATCTGCCCTCTGTAAATCCGCGTGGATTAGAAAAGAGACTAAGGTGCAGCGAGAACTGAGGCTCTTTGCTCTTCGCATGCCAGGAGGGAAGACACAATGGGCCTCACAGCGGCCACCGGCGGAGGATGGGCCTCAGGGCCTGGATCGTGTGACGCCTTCAGGGAGCCCCCGATAAAGTCCAATGGAGGGCGCCTGCCCCTGGGGCCACAGAGAGGGAGACTCTCCATGAATGTCCCTCCTTTTAGACTTGACTGAGGCCTGCCAGACCGCCTGGCACCTGCCCTCCCAGCAGTCCAGGAGGCTGGCCCCATGGCCCCGTCTCACAGATGAAGCAGCGGAGCCAGTGGGTTGTTCAAGGACTAAAATCAGCCCGTCTCCCCATGCAATGCCCCCTCTCCCACAGCACAGGGTAGAGGGGTGACAGACGGCCGTCCGGGGGGACTGGTGGGACAGAGCCTCACAGGCCTTTCCTTCCTTCCGGGATTCCTGGTACATCTGTGCCCCCCACAAAGCAGATCCCCCCCGGGCAGGGCTACCTGAACCCTCTCCCACCCTGCCCCCTGCCAGAGCGAGTGCTGGGTCAGACAGGCATGCTTCCTGTGTGGCCCCGGGAGAGCCAGTCCACTCCGAGCATCCTCACCACCCACTCTCCCTGCACGGACATGCCTGCGTCGGCTTCACACGTCTCGGGCCCCGTGCGGCCAGCGGTGCCCAGGACTCCTCAGGACGTGAGAAGCAAACAAGGCCCGGGGCTGCACTCGAGAAGCAGGTCAGGCAGGCAGCGCCCCGTGCTCCCCCACCCGCCCCTGCTGCGCAGCCCCTACCTCCCACAGGGACCAGAGCACCCGTGAGCCTCCGTTTCCTCCTCTGTAAGATGGAGGTCATGCCTGTCTCCCCTCTAAGGGCAAGTTCCCCGGGTCCCAGTCAGTCCCCAGTTCCCTCTGTGTCCTCCTCTCAGGCCAACCGGAGGCAGGAGACCCCACGGGCAAGCTGACACAGAACTGGGGTCTTCGCCGGCCCTGGGGTGGGGGCCCTGGGATGGGGGCCCTGGGATGGGGGCCCTGGGATGGGGGTGCTGGAGGTGACTTTGTGTGGCCCTCCGCGCGGCCAGCGGGGGGACACCAGCTCTGTCTGTGCGTCTGCTCGGGTCCTCACACTGTGGAGAGTTTCCGGAGCAGCACTCCCCAGGGCTGTCCTTGCAGAACAGGTAATACGGTGGCAAAGGAGAGGAGGCTTCTCGGGGGAGGAAGTCTGGGACGTGGGGCATGTGGCTCCATAGCTGAGCGTCTCCGCGCCCCTCGCAGCAGAGGGGCTGGCGGAGGTTCCCACACGGGCCTGTGGCTCCAGTCTCCGGGCCCAGCAGCGAGCTGTCTGTGGAACTGAACTCAGTCAACACACCGGCCGCGTTTGGATGCAGACGGCAGGC